ATTTTTTAAAATTAAATTAATTGAATGGCCTCAGAGGGAAACCGCATCATGGGCCTCACTTGCTTCCCCCCCAGCCAGTTTTCGGATTCGCCCACAAATTCAGTGTCAACAACAACCCTTCCAGCAGAAGCAACAACCCAACAAGGGCTAAGCAAGACTGGCCGCTAACTACATCGTCTGTGGCTTCCCATTTTCGGCCAAGCAGACGTCGGCAGCAGATAATTATGGCAACGCAGAAGTGCCGGAGGCTGCTGGTGGCGGTGGCGGCGCGACGACGATGGTGGTATCAACCCTCCCGGCGGCATCAAGTGTCAAGCTCTTTGAATGAGTTGGCACCCCAGAAAAGAAGAAAGCGCCCGCAACGACCATTAAACTCCGCGTGCGGCTCTTTTTGAGCAAAGTTCGCAGACGGACTGAGAGGAGAGCCGCGGAAATCGTAATAATTCTTCTCATCTTTCTCCTCAGATAAAATGAATTTCACCTGCAGCAGAAAGAGAAGAGAAAATTTATTTCAAAGTGAAAAGAAAGTGTTCTTTTCTCTCTGCGCCTGCTTTTCCTTTTCCAGCCGATCATGTTGTGCGTAAATCGAGAGCGAAAATTTTGAGAGACGAAATCGACGCCACTCCAATCAGCCGGATTGCGTTTCCAGGGCGTCAATTCCGCACCGATCGACACGGCGTCATTATTTCAACCACTCGAGCGCGTGTTAAAACTGCGCCCGCTTTGCCATTGGGAAAATAGCTTTTGTCACAAATGGGAATACATTTCACCGGCGAACCCGTCGGTGCGTGCGTTTGACGCGTTGTAATTATTTTAAATGCGCGGTAGAGAGAGGGAGGGAGAGAGAGAGAGACAATGCGAGGCAGCTTTCAACGCGGACTGGGCACAATTGAATTAATTAAAAATCAGCATTGGAACCCAATGTTTGAGGTTTCCGCCAGCAGTTGTGTGGATGCCAAAATGCGAGGCCCAGCTGTAATGTTCACCCTGTGTCAGCCAGAAAATATAATTATTTATTAAAGAATAATAATAACAACTTTTTATACAAATTTCAACTATGGTTTTTCCTTGAATGGTAACACTCGAGGTGGATTTCATGAAAAATTGAAACCGGGTGAACCTCATTGCAAGAAAAAAAAATGAAAAAATAATAAAGGACAACTGACCCCCCAAAAGGCGACCTGCGGTCTGCTAGGGATTTGTTGTGTCCGAACTAAACCTGTGGGAGGAAATCATAAAAGAAAAAATAAAATGAGGAGAATTTAATTTTAATAAACAAAATTGCAGAAATTAATTAAGTAAAGGAGTCGGTCAAAAGCTTCATACTGTGACTTTGCCAGATGTTTCCAGGGTAATGAACCCAAAGATTTTTCTGTCAAAATCACAGTAATCTGCAACACTACTCCTCCCATTTAGGTTTAGTTCGGACACGACAAATCCCTAGGTTTTTAAAGTACCATTACTATTTTCACATTTTTACTTTGCAACGAGGTTCGCCCGGTTTCAATTTTTCATGGGTTTTCCTGCCTGGAAGTTTTGTAATCCGCTCTTTTGACAAAGACAATTGTGTGTATTATGGCAGCGGTCAAACTAGTTGGAAAATATTTTTCCAATTATATTATTCAAGCTAAAATTAAACATCTGCATCTATATAAAAATTTCCTGGATGGAAAGTACCAAATTTAAAAATAATTAAATGAAGATTTTAAAATCGCCTTTACCTCAATGAATTATTTTTGTTTTTATTATAGTAAAAAATCTTGCTTTTCCTGCTCGGCTGTAATTCGTGAATTGAAAATTCTTGTTAAAAAATTAATTAAAACAATTAAAATATTTTTTTGATAATTTTTTTTTGTCTGGGAAAAAAAGATGAAGTCATTTTAGTAAACTATGAAATGAACCGCTAGGTTTGTCCTTTAAAGGAATTATACTGTTACTTTTAATGGGCGACGCTCTCTGAATATTCTACTGGGCAAAAACGGTTGCATAATTCATTCCGTAAACACAATTTTGCCCTCGCTCTCTCTCTCTCTCTCTCTTTTAAATTAATCCCCGCCTTAGGGACGCCACCGCAAATTGAGTGGCGAGGCGGCGCCTGCGAAAAAAATTTCCGCCGAATTTCGCACCCCGTGTATTAGTGATGTCAGCACGTGCATCAACGGGTCTTTATTTAGCTCTCGCGTCCAGCCTCCAGTATGCATCACAGCGCGGCAAGTGGTTTCAACGCGGTTTAATGAATTCTGAAAATGTTTTTGCCCGACAGACGAGCAGCAGCCAGTGATTGCGAAAAAGCAGCGCTTTTTACGACTCGGAACATAAATATTTGCGTGTTTCGTGCACCGAGCTCTGGTTGGCGGATGAAATTTTGATGGTCGGGCAAATTAATCCACGTGAAATAAAAACAGTCTGCGCAAAATGTATGTGTGGTTTTGTAGAATTTCCCAGACTTCATTGGAATTAATAATTGCGTCAAAACCATGTTTAGTTAGGAAATAATTGCATGTAATTATTAGGGCGTTTTGTGCCCCCTTTGATGAGACCTAAAAATGGAGTTAAATTAGGCGGGAAATTTTTCGCAGTAAATGTCTAAAAGAAGTCTTCATGAAAACATGAATTAATGATATTGCTCTAAATAAAGTCACTAAGAGAATATCATTTAAACGAGCGTATATGTAGAAGTTGAAATTTTACATTCTCTTAACCCTTGCATAAAAAATAAATTTTTGAATAGATCTATGGATTATTTTTTTACTTTAAAAACAGTTTCATTGATTTAATTTTACAGTCAGTATACATTGGGGTGTTTAAATTCAAAATAATTAGCCAGCTAGCGAGCTTGTCAGCTAGTTTTCAAAAATGTCTTCATGATAGTTTAATTTATAATCTTGTGTTTGAAGCTAATCGAGAGACTGAAATTTTTTCAACCTAGTATTTTTCGTTCAAATCGATCTCTATCATACGTCTCTTGTCTCTTGTAGCAATCGCCATTATTGTAAAATTGAAAATTTGGGAATAAATATTTTGCGTGCTTCGGCGCTTGAAAAGTCTATAAAATAGTTTGGTTTAATACTTCAGATTTGAAGTTTCTGTTAATATCATGGACATTCGGGCGAAAATAAAAGATTTTAATAAGACTACTTGTTGTTTGAAAAAATAAAATTAAGGCGTTTCACAATTATTATTGTTGTTTATTTGTCCACATTGTTACAAATACATTGTTTACATTCAATTTTTGAAAAACAATTATTTAAAAAAAAAGAGATTGTTGGACAAAAAGGCATCACCACAATAAATCGCCATGATTCAACATTTTGAATATTCTTCATGATAGTTAGATTTATATAACTTATGATTGTAGTCGTAGAATTTTTATCAAAATTCTTGCGATACTTAAATTTTTTAACCTTGCTAGTGTTTGTTTGCTCAAATCTGTATTTAGACGACTCTTCTAGTAAGCGTCATTTTTATAAAATAGAAAATACAATTTTTTCGTGATTTATTGCTTGAAAATTCTTCATGATAGTTTGATTTATTACTTCAGATTATGAGTTTTTGTTTAATAGCATGATCTTGTGAGCGGAAATAGAATTTGAAACCTACTCATTGTTTGATAAAATTTATTGTAGACGTGCATGAGGTTTTATTCTATTGACTGCTTTCTCACCTTCCGACCCGTTTCCTTAAATTTCGGTACCATTTTTCCACAGCTAAATTTTTCCATTTATTTAACCAGCGTTTCAAATTGTTCTCAACGTCCACCGAGACTGCTGCAAAAAGTTTTGGTGGCGGAAAATTTCGATAACTTTTTATGCGCAAAGCATTCCTCGCCATTTATTCCGGCGGCACCATTTCATGAAGTGTGCGTATTGTTTCATGCTTGACGAGAATTTCCAGCTCGCTTCGCCACTTTTCACCGCTTTCACATCTGTGTACCGTCGGGATTTGCTGGCGCATAATTCCGCGAGCCTGCTGCAAAATGTCAAACCGCACGAGCAACACATCGATTGGACGGACGAGCATAAATGCTTCACGTACGCCGTGTTTGTTTCAAATTGCGTGCTCCCTCCGTGCCCTTGCTACGGCCGAGCATAATGATGCGGCCCTCATTGTTGCTGACGGTGGCAAGGTCGGCTTTATCCGGCACAATGCCTCGCAAATATTGCCCCTGCACAAACGGCCATTGTCGTGATGAAAACGCCCGACGACGAGACAAAATCCGAAATAATCCCCTGCGCTCTGTCAACGAAAAGCGATAAAGGACGGCAGCGAAACGGGACCCCGTTTTTCAGTAAGGGTGGGACACAAATTTTTAATTGTAAATTCAAATTAACAATTATTATTTAAGACATCGCAAAAAATCATAAGTGAAAATTTGTTGAAACAGTTTAAAATATAATAGCAAGTGCAAAACTTTAAATTTATAAAATTAAAATTAATTTATAATTTAAATGCATTTTAATTTTAAATAAAGAATGAAAAAATAGTTTAAATTTTAAATAACGCATTGAATTTAAAAATTATGTAATAATTTTTTTTATATTATTTTAATATGCATAAATTTAAAAACAATTGTTAAATCTGTAATAACATTGCCAAAATTTTTTTAAATTCAACAAACTTGTTATCAGTTTTAAATATTGAAAATTCTTATAAATAATATTTGAATTTAAATTTGTGAACTCCAAAACTATTTATTTCTCACAACAAAAACAGCAATGAGAGTTCCGATCTGTGCTCTCTGCGTGTAAATAAATTACCAGCTTTTAGTCAGCCCATCATTTGCTCTTGTATACGGGTGGCTCGCTGTAAATTTTGCAAAAGCCAATCCCAACAAACTCCCCAACCGGCAGGTAAAAGCCCACGCAAAATTGTGTCAGAGTGCCGTCGGAGGCTGAGAGCAATTTCTTCCGCACCGCGCAATCTATTATGCATCGGAGGGACGCGTGAAGATAAATTTTTCAATTTTTCCGTTTTGCCGAATCCGGCGCGAATTTACTCACCTCTTCAGGCAGCAAATGGCCCATGCTGGCTGCAGATTTGGCCGCGTTCGGCTCCGAGCTCTCCGCCCTCCGCAAAGCACCGTCCTCGCTTCCAGCGCCGAATTTGCGCCAAACGACCCTGCAAAACGCAAGGAAATAGCATGAGAGCGTTTATTTCAGCTGATAACGAGAAATACCGCCGGTTATATTTATGTGCGCCTTTTTACGCCACCGATAGAGAAAGAAAGTGGCCAATGAAGTGAGAAAAAATCGATTACCACAGGCTTGTGGGGAAAATGTGAACCAAGCAGCTGAACATTTTTTTTTCTGAAATAACAAAAATTTCTGGCTCAAGACGTGAAAAGTGCTTCTAAGTACTTTAAATTTTATTTAAATTTAAAATTATGCATACCAATACCAATACTTTTTTTAAAAATTATGTAACTCGACAAAAAAAATTGTAAGGAAGCCGACAATCAGCTGTAGGAAAAATGCCCACTATCAGCCATAGTGATAAGAAAAACTACCTAAATAAACCGGTAAAAACCGGTAGCAAGCAGCCAAAGCATGTATGCAGTGGGTGGGTCCGAATATCTAGAAACGATTCTCGAGAAACGATTCTCGAGAAATGATTCTTGAGAAACGATTCTAGAGAAAAGATTCACGCGCAATGATTTTCCTGGATTGCTTTAAAAATTCAACTAAAGAACCGTTCCTTGAGAATCCTTGCGCGAGAATCTTTTCTCTAGAATAGTTTCTCAAGAATCGTTTCTCTGATAATCGGACCCACCCAGTGCCAATTCAAAACAACATAGTCTGGAATATACCAAAGAATTTTCTAATTAACTAGTTAAGCCGTGCTTTAATTAATAAATTTAGTTCAACCGCGGACGTGGGAGAATAATCAAATCGGAATAACCACGTCGTCTAATTAAGTTCTTCCTTTTCTCCTGTGACTCTTGTGCAGAGAGAAAGCTCCTGAAGCGCCAAGAAAAACAAGTGGAGAGAGCAATTTGTTTGTGTATGCAGTTGACCTGAATCATGTCGGTGCTGCTTTCTTTATATGCAGGAAAGCTCATTAAGAAGCAGCAGGGTGTTTTTACCAAAGATTATTGCCCGTGCATGCGAGAGACGAACGGCAATGAAGTATCCAAGTACTTATGTGTCTCTGGCTGCTGGTGGAGAAATGCTTTTTCGAGCATTAGCGATGCCGCGGGTAACAAACTTTTATGTGACTAAAAAAAAAAGAAAGGAAGTTCATTCTATAAAAAAGCACACTCTCCATGCAGCGAGATCGCAATATAAAAGCGGCCGTGGCAGCCCCGGAGAAAAAAAGAGAAAGAGAGCTGCCTGCGTCTCTCTCTTTCGTTTCTTTTCTTCCGTTGCCAATGCAGTGCCAGAAGATAATTTATTTTCTTCGCATTACGAGACGTCTCCGCGCTAAGCGAGAACTTTCCCGCGGTCCAATTTATCTCCGGCGCTGCAGACGTGAATCATTTCGAGCTTGACGCGTGTCCCGCTGTTAGATGTTGGTTTTACAAATTTCCCCAAATTTGCCAAAGGAATTATGGCTGCGAGCAAATGTAGCGGAACAAATGGCTGTGTCAGTCAACTTTAGGGAGGTGCCCCAAATCTGCAATTTTTTGGATCACGATGACGTAACGGGCATAAAGATAGGATCAGCAATGAAATACATGCAAACTAAAAGAAAAAAAAAGTTTAAAAACTTGATGGGGTAGTAGAAGAGTCTCAAATATGCAAAAAATCTCAATCTCATTGTTTGTTAAATTTAATTTTATATTAATTTAAGTTTCAGTTTAGAATTTACTGAATTGAATAGTGGAATAGTTTGATCATATCCTTAATTAATTCATTAATTTATTTATATTTTACTATAATTTCTTTGGTGGAATGACTAAAAAAAAATCTCAATTTTCGCTTGAATCAAACACGATTTTATAATTTTTTTTATATAAATGCGAGGTTATTCCCCATAAAAATTTTCGGAATGACTTTTCATTTCTGGTCTGCCGGAGAATTTGAATTTAAAAGCATCCGCTTAGGAAATTTAGAGAAATGAAAATAAAGCGGAGCGGAATTTCGACATTCATTGCGAAAAACGCCGCTGAAAATTGCCGTCGCGGAAAGAAAATCTCATTTTTCGCGAGCTAAGCGCCTGGCAATTTAGAGTGCAGGCTCTCGGGTCGACATCAAAGTGGCGCGGGTTGCATATACATAGTACGTGCTCGCATTGAGCCCACAAATCAGAGGGCTTTCAGGCACACACAGAGCGGCGGCGGCTCTCGTGAGTATAAATCACGGCACACACACACACACACACACTCACCTGGCGGTAAATACGATTATGACGATGAGCAGCAGGGGGACGAGCGTGGCGAGCAGCGCGAGCATGACCGTTTGCGCCTCCGACAAGCCGGCTCCTGCAACAAATTCAAAAGTCACTCTAGATCGCCTGGGAATGGGTCTGTCTCTGAAATACAGCGCGACAAAGGCGCCGGAGAGGATAAAATGCACATAAATTATTCTCTCAACCGTGAAGATCTCGCACAAAAAGGAGAGAAAAAAAGGGAAAAAGTGTAGTGGAAGTTTGTTCTTGCGCGCCTTCGGGAAATAACCGAGCGTGTTTCCGCATCACCGTCGGTCGCCTTTGTTTCAATTTCGCCAATTACGAGTTGATTACGGTGGAAAGAATTGAGTGAGTGGCGGTGTCGGGTTGGCTGCGGAACGTGACACTGGAGGAAATGACAGTGTATCGAAATAATGTTGTTATAAAGCAAAGAGTTTTGTATCGCTGCAAATAAAGAATAATATGAATCGCATACAAATAGTAAAAGAGGCAATTTAGAATTCAGGCTTTGTTCTCCAATTAAATATGAATTAATAATTAAAAATAACCAGAATCTATTTTTATTAAAAAATTTATTTAGCATAAATTATTTGTTACCTTATTTTAATTTTTTTTTCTGTAGAAAAACGACCGTTTTGGTGTTACTTTCATCTGTTTCAGTTTGTTTCAAAATTTTGTGGGATACTTTTTTTTCTCAAGAAAAGAGTTATTCAATTTTCAGGTGATAAAAATTTCAGTCAGAAACTCTGCAATGTAGAACAAAGAATCATGCCTTTCAATCATTTCATCTATTTTTGGTCTTTAATTAATTTGATTGTTGCTTTTAGTTCTCTGCAAGCGACACAAAAATATTTGATCAATAAGAATTTACAATTCTAAATCTATAATTAATTCGGATACGCCCTTGTCCTATTTTAAGTTATTGATTTGGAAATCTAGAAATTTCACTCACCGTCTTCGTTTTCATTGTCCACGAAAAAACCGCCGGTCGAGTTTGTCGATGAACCGTTGCCTGCCGCCGTGAAGTCGGGCTCGACCGTGGACGTCGGCTGCGTCGCCGGAGGCTGGGCCAGCAAAGTGCGTGCAGTCCTCATTTTATTTTCCAAACTTGTCGGCTAGCAAAAGTTGCACATCTCGGCGCGGCACTCACTCTATCGGGGCAGAGAAAGAAATATACTTTTTCATGGCTCTTGGTCAAAGGACACAGCCGTCGGCGTGTCTCTCTCGTAAAAAAGCAATTTCGAAGTCTAATGGGGGGCGCACACTTGTCGCAGGAAAGGACATTCAATTTGACGACGACAGTTTTGTTTACGTTCTGCCAACAACTGGCTATGAAAAAAGGAAAAATACTTTTCGAGATCAAATCACAAAATACAATAAGGAAGTTGCGATTTCTTATATAAATAATTTATGTTTTGTGCCTTTTTGTACAACAATTCCTTTTTTTAAATAAATTGTTTTTAACAATTTAAAGTAAACAATGTGAACAAATAAACGACAGTAATAATTCAAAAAAGTAATGCATTAAAATAAAAATGTATGTAGACTTAATAAAAATTATAATAATAATTAAAATACTTAAAATATAAGCAACAAAATATCAAATTTGATTTTAAATACGAATTTGAACGTAAATTTAATTTTATTTTGAGAGTAAATCGGGACAGATAAAAAAACACACACAATTTGCAATTTAATACTAAATCTTCCAGCAATTAAAATAAAAATCGCCCTCGGAACACTCTTTAAGCAAAAGTCTCGCCATTTTACGATCCGTCTTGGTCATAAATGGTTGCTTTAACGAGATTATTTGCTGTAATGAGCTCGTCTGCTTCCGCTACTAGTTCATAGCAAAGCCTTTTGCCGCTTTATTAAATTACTTTGTCCACGCGAAAAGAGGCTCCGTCGAGTCGGCAAAATCAAATCAAACGTGTGTGTCATTTTTCTGGGTCGCCTGCAGCATAAAAGAAACGCGGTGCAGCATCGATTGGCGTTGAGCAAGATGCACAAATGGCGAATTGCGCCACCGGCAACTCAATAATATTCTTCCCTTTTAGCTCTTGACTTGACAGCAATTCACATGAAATATGCAGTAGGCGCTTTTATTAGCGCCGATGGATGACGCACGCGTATCAGATTTCACGACACCATTCCGGTAACTGCGATTGAGATCCGCGAGCTTTTTGCAAACGAAGTTGGATTCTTTCACTCCAATAAGCAATATTGATGATGTCGCTCCGTCCTCAGAGGAAAAAAAGCAATTTCAGAGTCAGAAAAAAAATGCTTTTATTTTAGGTTGACGCCATTTATTAAACGTCTATAATTAAATTCCATTTTAATACTCATTACCGAATCTCAATAACTGTATTTCGCTGTGTTTTAAAAATTGTAAAAAAGCGCCTTGAATTTGAATGAATAACGAATACCTAAATTCTCCGCAAATTTTCAGGTGTTTTGAGCATGCACTGCTACGCAGGTTGCCTAATTTGAAGTTTGCAGGCGATCTCTGCATTGTAAACTGTTACAAGTTACAATTTCAATTTTTTAATATTATAAAAATTCTTCACAAATTCGCGTTTAATTACTATGTAGCAAAAAGCCGATCAACGTAAGAATCTGCAAAAAAGATGTACAGTAAAATATTTTTTAAATATAATAAATAAATCTATATTTTAATTAAAAATACAATTTATTTTAAATTTTTTAGAATAATGGCAATTATTTTATTTATAAACATTTTAAATTATAATTATTATTTGTAATTGTTAATATTATGTAAATTTACTTATGAAATTTTTGTATATATATTTATATTAATTTGTAAATTATAAATAAAGTAAAATATTAATTTCGTAAGTAATATCTGAATAGAATTTATTTCAAAATTAAATCGTAACAAATCAATTTAAATGTTAATTTCAATGCAAATTGATAAAACAAAAATTGGGAAACTTAATCTAATCTTATAAAAAGTAGATAATACGCATTGTATTTTTACTTAACCATGATTAGATACTAAAAGTAAAAACATATATCAGTGCGGAGAATTTTTCTAGAGCCTCGAGAACAAAGGCAAATACGATAGCTCCATTTTAAGAGGGAGAAGAGAAACTCACACGTCTGACAAGGCAAAAATTTAATAACAGCAGCTTCTTGTATGATCAAGAAAGAATTTCCGCGAGTTTTTCTCAAAAGAATTTTCAGGCGCGAGAGGGAAAATTTCTCTTGCAGACGGCGCTGCGCCTCTGTAATGCGGAATAATTGAATTCCGCCTCTCGGTTCTCCAAGACAAAGCAAGTGACCGACCTCTGTCGCCTGCTAAACCAATTTGCATGTTTCTTTCGTGCCCCCTTTTTCTAATTAGGGCCAAGCGTGAGAGCAATTTTTGCCGTCGGTCCGAAAGAGCGTAATTAAATTCCTCGCAGGCGGCGCAAACATAAAGTGGCGCAATGGAAATCTATGGAAGGAAAACAGACGGCCGCCATCTGTATCAACCGTTAATTAACTGCCTGGAACTGGGAAAGCGAGCAAGCCAGCTGAGCATGCAGACCGCACGCCCAACTGTGGAAACCAGTCGAGGGTAAACCAGCGAGGGAGCTAAATTTGCAATTGCTCTTTTCCAGATATGAGAAATTCTGATTCTCTGGATTTTAATTACACGATATTTTCCAGGGAAATTAGAGATGTTATTAAATTTCATTCAAACACATTAATTAAACTTTCTTGGTGTGGTTCATTTGACTTTGAGCATAAAAAATGAAAACCAAACTTCCTATTATTTATATTCAACAAAACGAAATTAATTTTAATTATTCTCAATAAACTGCAAATTTAAAAATGTGTATGTAAAAAAATATTAAAAAATTTTAATAAGAAATAATCTGCCTGAAAAATGAATGAATTGAATGAATTTTTGAAGCGAGGCATTGAGACAAAAAGAAAATCAAATAAATGAGTTAAAAAGAATTTGAAATTAAAAATTAAAATTGACTTTCTTCCAAAAATGGATGATTTTTGATGCTTTAAATTTAAAAAACTCATGATCTTCCCATTTTATAATAAACACTTTTTTGTTTTCAAATTTGAAAATTTTACCCGTGGTTTCCCCTTTGCACGTCCGTTCTCGTCAACTTATGCACGACTTTGCAACAATAATTGGAATTAGTCGCACCGGTAATCTGGCAAACAAACAACGGCGTAGCCGGAGGACCCTATTTGCATTCAGCTGGTGCTCCCGCACCACGTACTGCCACTCTCGCGAGGGGACACTTCATCAATCTTTGATCCATTCATTGCTCAACACACAGCAGCAGGGCGTTTACTTTGTGTACGTGTTTGCACAATCCGCCTGACCATTATATATGCCGCATGCAACCAGATTTGCCGCCGAATCGCAATTTCAGGCCCCGTCCAATTTGGGGTGCAGGACAGGTTGAATGGAATGAGCGAGAGAGGCGAGCTTTGTGTGCCTGCTTACAAGCTTATCGCCTCTCGCCGCGAGCAATTGTGAGCGAAATTGATGGACGTCGCGCCGCGTTATCTTCTCAGAACTATCCATTGGGCAATGATAAATTGTCTGCGTAAATGCTCGACGCCGTAATAATAAAAAACGAGATAAAAATAAGCTGCTTTTTTGCAACTAAATTACCTTGTCACACCCACATTTTGTTCAGATTAGGATACGTGAATAAATTGTGAAGAAATTCAAAATTCAATGCTGTTTTTACTTTTGTACAATCATATTAAAATTTACTTGATTTTCGTATTCTTTTTTAAATTTTGGTTTCAATCATATTTCAATCTGGAAATTTAATTTGTAAGTTCAAAGTAAGTTTTTAAAATTTTCATTATTTTTTCCAATTAATGCCAATAATTTTAGAATTTTCAATATTAATAATTCAGCTTTTGAGAAACCCGATTTTAAGAACGTTCGAAACACGATTTATGTTAGAAGAGTGCGAGTAGGTAATAATAATAAGCTTTGCGCAAACTTTCGCGAGCCTCAAAAGATGTGATGAACATTGCACGCTTGTGCCTTATGCAGTGAGAGGTTGAATTTAATTTGTCACGGGGCATGAATGGCTGAGAGCAACTTGTTAGTAAGATGAGGCGCGCGCGCGAGTGTCTAATTTCTCAGCACAGTTGAAACTCGCGTTGGGTCTCCTCAGATTTCGCTCTGCAAGAGAGGCCAAAGTGCGGATAAGTCTCTCGGTACACGTCGCGTGTGATAAATGCATTAATAGCTAAACAGCTCATTTCGCCGACGACGGACGAGATTAAAAAGGACGCGAGCAGGAAACTATATAAGCAAGAGAAGACGGAGCCCAAAGGCGTCGTGGAAAGTGCCCCCGGCGACAGCTTACCGTGTTTAATTAATTAAGGTGTACATAACACCTCTCGGCGAGTATCGCACCTTCTTGAAAGGCACTCTCAGTTAATATCAACGAGGTGATTAAAAATTCAAGCCATCTAACAAAAGCGTGTTGATACCATAGAGCGGACTCTCAAAATCAATTATGCTCAAGTTCAGATGTAGAAGAAGGGGATAAATGATATGGGGAAAAAATTTAATAAAAGACAAAAAAGCCTGGGTAACGTTCAGTTGAAAAAATGAATAATAAATATCAGGGCAACGAGAGATTTAAATAAATTACTGATATTTATTGCTCTAAGAACAATAAAAATTTTTGCCTTACACACAAATAAATGAAAAAAAATATATGAAACAATTTAATATACTATAACATAAATATTAAAATTTAATAAAATATTTACAGCTTCAAAATTTGACAAAATAAAGATTATAAAAAGTTATTTAACTTTTTACAACATAATTTATATTTAGATTATTTTAATATCAATATAATCAATTTATGATCGACTTAAAAGGTATTGTATTATACCTTATCTTATCTTATTATTGATTTCTTCTCACATCTCAAGAAGAACGGATTGCGTGCACATGACACATAGCTACAGTTCTGAAAGCTAGGCAAAGTGACATATTTGACTTCACACGCGTATTCAGATCAAAAGCTCCAAATTAATAGGCTGTGTCTTGTCGATTTTGATAATGGCATTTTGACTCTGTCGTTGTTGGGAAGGTTCAAATAGCAATTTTTAGGCTCAATTAGTAAAACTCACTTAAAACATTTTTAATGAAAAAAAAATACTCTTTCATATCTCCATCAGAATATGAAAAGTTTGGTTAAAATATATGGAAATTCTAAGTGTGTGGCCGAAATATAATTAATTGAAATTTTGGATTTCTATATAGGTTTTATATTTTTACAATAAAATGTAAAAATTCACAAAAGGTTCATTTACAAGACGCAATTCATATGCAATTTTATTTATAATTCATTTCGCATTCCACTCTATTCCTTTTACCCAAATTAAAATGCATGATATCTTTACGGCAAGTTAAGCCATCCACAAATCCCACAAGCTCAATTTCATAATGTTTTCCGCAGCTAATGAAGAATAATTGCAGAATGTGGCAACTCCAGTTTTTTAATTACAGCTAATAATGCGCATATAATGCTCCTGTAAAGAAACGAGAATCCCTCCTCGGAATGCCTCGGGACGGTAATCCTTTGTTTAATTGCATTAAGCTGGAGAAGCATGTGGCAAGAAAGACTCATTTGAATGCGCCAAAACACCTGGTGTCTCTCTTAATCTCCGTTTTCTCAGCCGCCGAGTCTGGTTCATTAACGTCTTTTAAAAGAAAGGAACTCCAGGAGGATTTGATAATAAAAGACCTGCTCCTGATCGAAAATTCGCGCATTTGCAAGAGAGAAAACTAATTTGAGTGGCCTCTTCTCCAGAGAGAAAGTAACTTTGAGTTTGGCTTTTGCCTCTCCTTGCTCTTTGGCTCAAAGACATAAGCACGTTCAACTTTGGTCCTTGTGGGCTCTCCAGTTTCCTCTTTGCGCTGTTTGTGTGAGAGAGATGAAAACGAGACCGCGGCCGCCACCGCTTTTCAATTATTGCCCCACCAGTTAAAAATTTAGCTCTCGCCGCAGGTTAGTTGAAAAAGTTTGTTGTTACAGAGAGAGAGTCGGACAAGTTTGCGCCATTCTTGCCGAGTTGCCGCGATAAACTTTGATCAAAATAGAGGAGAACGAATGTCCGCACGCTGTTTCCTCGTTTCCTCAATGAGAACGAAGTTGCTGCTGCTGCTTCGGCACAATGTGCGGTATGCAAAAATCGATATGACGCGCTGAAATGGAAAATGTTTGTTTGCAAAGTGAACACGAAAAAACTGAGGAACAAAGTTATGACTCCATTATTCCGCAAAAAAATTATTCAGCCTCTTAAGTGTTAAATTGAGCATTTCCGATTTATTCTTATGTGAGACTACTTGAGTAAAATCCCAGTGTTTTCAGTTGAATCATTATTTTTTGATAATTTATATCGGTCGATACTCCTCTATCCTCTGCTTATTTTATTGTTTTTTAATAAGGGAGTTAAAAATTTGTTAATATTTTTCAAATATTAAATTTTAATTGTAGGATTGTTCGGATTCTAAATAGATTTCATGAGGTGTACCATTTATTCCAAGGTCCGCGCATCAGCAACAATGAAAAAAGTTTTGATTGTTGTTTGAGCTCTCTGATTGGGTACAAGTAAAGTTGTACCCAATCAGAGAGCTCAGCAACAATCGAAATTTTCTGATGAGCGGACCTTGATTTATTCTGAAAAAATATCCTTGGTAGATATAAAAGTATTTTCTTATTAATATTAGATTTACCGTTTTATTAGCTTTTCATTTCTTTCTGAATTAAAAATATATAAAATAAAAATGCAAAGCATTTATCCTTGTTAACGCTGCAAAAAACTAATTTCATTTTGTTTACGTTTGCTGCTATAACATAAGTTTTAACGATGCATTTTTAATTAAAATTTAACAATCGAATAAACGTTGATGTCCATCTTTTGAAAGGAGGCAACTTTTACGCCCTAACAATAAAAAGCGGAAAATTTAATAACAAAGCTGTCACCCTATCGTTACAAACGATCTCCCTCGCTTTTTGTTGGCAGATTAAGTCATTAGGCCGCCAGGCCTGAAACGAAATCAGTCGAGCGCTTCTCCATCTGCGCCCTGAGCACCGCGAGCAAGATGTTGCTTTTATATAAAAGCAGACGAGCAACTAAAAAGCCATACATCTTCTCAAAGCCAATCTAGATTAATCTTGGGAAAAAAGGGTTTTACAACCGCAGTGGATTTTTTTGTCAGAAGTTCTTCCACCACCTCTGGAGAATATATATTCGCGTCTAGTTCGGTTTGCCACACCCACGGTATGGAATATAAAAGCGGCGGATGAGGCGAGCCAAGCTAAACACGCCAAAAAGTGCAGCCTCGCAAACAACATGAAAACGGCGAGAAGAATCACGATGCTTTTTTTACAACTCTCGGCAGAGAAAGAAAAAGAGAGGAAAAGGGTCCACCTGGTCTTTGTGCCGACAGTAAAAAAAGCAAAAGAAAAACGACGGCGAGAGAAATAAAAAAGTGTCAGCTGGTGCACTGTGCTTTTTTCCAGCTTCAAAGAATATATATTGTTTAAATTTAGCGGAAGGGAAATTTCCCGTGAGAATAGCTGTTGAATTTCCGCAGGGCGCCTTCATTTAAATTTCCCAGCGTTCAAAAAGAACAGTCGGTGCTGTGTTAATAGTTCGCACTGCTCATTTTTTATTCAATTGAAGCCTGACGAGCACATTATTAAAATGGAGGTCTTTTACTTTGAATTTATTAACATAAATTTTTCAAATTATCTATTCCAAGAGTTTGAAAAAACTAAAAAAAATGTATGAATGGTATTTTTAAATTTAAAATAAAGAATTATTGAAATAGTAGTTTAAAAAATGATTCCTTAAAATATCAAAACTGTTTTAAATGAAAAAAAAAATTATATAAAATAAATTTTAACTTTTAAATTTTAAGTCACATGATTCGCGTCTAGACTCATCGACTAAGGAAGCAGAGCACACTCTCAGTCGCCGATCATATGCGAACGTACCCAAACAAAAATTAATTTCCGCACAGGTAATTAGACGGACACGTCACGCGCGTCGGTCGCCAGGGTCGCACCCTGGTGGCATTGCACTTACCCTGGTCGGCTGTACTCGTCGGCTGGAGGGTGCATTCCCTCGAGGAGGACTGTGCACTGTGGAGAGCCACCCGCCCGGCCCTAGCCCGGCCAGCCATCGCGCACACCACTGGATGGAGGAATCGATTACCGCCGCCGCCACCACCACCGCCGAGCTCTTCCCTTTCGCAGCAGCCCAATGGAGCCACCCCTCTGCCGCTTTCTCTCCCCCTTCGCGCCCCCAGACTGACTTTTGCCACCTTTTGGCGCCAAAATTTCGCCCAGTCTCTCTCATTCACTGTTGCCACGCAAAATAATATTTTCCCGGGGATTTGTCAATAGAGTTGTAGCGAACTTGGACTCTTTCCAGCAACACAGAGTCATTCCGGTTGACCTGAATACAATGCATCATTTTCATCCGCGGAGTTAGATGTGCGTAACTCGTCATTAAACTGGAACGGCGATTGCTGCAACAAACATAGAGAGAGAAGTTGAGGCAAACTTAATGCATTAAATTATTAATCTGGACTGAAAGGTCGAGGCGCATTCAATTAAGGCGAAAACTTTGCAGCTTCACATACTGATCCAAAATCTAAAGTTAGTAAAGTTGAAGCAGCTAGAAAGTTTGATTCAAGCACTAAACTTTCCTGTACTTTGATTGAAATTCAGACTCGATATTAACTTTTATATTAAATAAATGAAAACATATATACAAAAAATGTCATGTTCGCTATTTAAAATAAATATTTTCCATCTCTTTAAATTCAGCCTTGAATAATTTTTATAAATATATTATTAACTGGCATTCTCCTTCCATATACATCATCTATAAATTTATTTCTTATTAACCCTGTTACAAAGTTTCAAAAAAAATTTCTTGAAGAAATATGAAAATAAGATTTTATGAAGTTTTACAAATAAAAAGAAGTTTAATTAATACAATCAACAATAATTTGAGAAAAATGTTTAACATTACACTATTCTTACAATCTAAATATTTGGTATTTATAATTATTTTAAATTTTGTACATTGTAATAATTTTATTCTAGAAGAGTGTATTATAAATCATTAATTTTCAACTAAATGCATTGCAAAAAAAAAAAAAAAATGAATTTCTTTCGCTTTTTAAAAAGTGAAATCCATGACCAATATTTGGAATCTAAACCTCATTATTTTTCTTTTTTGAGTCTGCATGATCTTGTGACTTTTGAATTGATTTCCTGCTCCTTTGAAACTCAAATATGACAACAAGCTGTGCCCAATCTCAAATCGCTCCAGCGCGGAGATTGAACTTTGATTGATGCCCCGGAGCCATGTCGCCATGTGCCACACGCAAATCCATTTCTTTCAACAGCTTCTCTCCTCATCTCTCTCGATTGAAAAACTCTTGGCTGAGCAGACGCTGTTTGATGAGACTTTGCAGAAGCAACTGTTGATATCAATCAGCGCTTCGAAAATTCCGATAAATCGAGAGCCGCGGCTTTTTTTCTTCGATCGCATACAAAAAAAGCCTCATTTGCCAAATCCGACGGGCGGAGCGGCCGCTTTTCACTACCGCCAAGATCACTTTCACCTCCCACACGCAAATTTTCGCATTGACGTAGAAAGGGTGTCTATGTGTTGCTTGATTAATTAATGTGGTGTTGCTTTGCACGATGCCGCTCTCCGGTGTGAATATAAATCAAGCGAGGGCTTATTTGTATGTTCTCTCACTGGCAGGTCTAATTTTCTTGCAGGAAAAGCCTTAATTTGGAAGAGCTTATACGTCTGTAAATTAGGACTGCTTGGTCAAAGAGACGGACAGACCCAGCCGACTGGGTTAAGCACTCTAGCCCCCGGCGGACAATCCGAAGGAAAAGGGAGCCGCTTGCTTGACGAGGGGCAGCCGAGTCTGGTGGCAACAGGCGCAGCTGTTTTGCGCAAAATGCTAAACATGGGACAAGTCAAGCTTTGCCTCGGAATTAGCTGGGAATTGGGAAATTTAATTTGGCATGTTCCATTAATAAATAGAAGAATTAGCTTGGAATTTAAATTTTGAAATCGTGGAAATTTATTTTACTGTGGTATTGTACATATTTCCAATATATTCTTTCTCCTCTAATTTGATTTTCCTAAAACTACTCCCTCTATATTCACACTTTTTTACATAATTATTTTACGCAAAGTCAATAATATTAAATAAAAATTAAAACAAACTTATTAAGATATACCCATACCCATATTATCCCTATAGTAATTAAATTTGTTCGCAAAGAATGGTTGGAATTTGGGGTTTAATAAATATTTAAATTACACTTTTCCAACAAAATGCGAGAGGACATTCCTTAGAATTATAAGGTAGAAAAGTCTGTCTAATGAGCGATAATTATTTTATTTGCAATTTTATTATTTTTGGTTTTGGAGTTATATTACTTTTTCTATTAAAACAAAACGTAGGTTTTTATTCGGGATTTTAAAGCGTGAAAATTCGTCCGTTTGAGGTCGCTGGCAGGTCGGCACAGTCATCCGTCAGGTCAAATTCAGCGAGATTCAGGCCACCAAAGAACTGAGAGGTGACTTTCGTTAGTTGTTGCCAGGGCATGGAAAAGGCATGGCCAGAGCTTTGCATTGGCGTGGCAAATGGCGTGGCAATGGCGTGGCTATGGCGTGGTTATGGCGTGGCAATGGCGTGGCAATGGACAAATTCGCTTTTTAATTTAAAATGTGAGGTAAAGATTCAACAAGAGCTTGAAAAAAAAATTTAATAGCTCTATTAAATTTTTTTTTCAGTTCCACTTTTTAATGCTCACTGGATAATTTCAAAAATTACGTTATCCATCTTAAAACATTACTTTTTAAGAATTAAAACCCTAAGAAACGGCTCGAAAGGGGAAATAATTAAATTGGTAACTTGTGACTAATCACCTTTATGTGGATTAATCAAAATAAGTTACTAATTTTTATTATTTTTTAGTTTCTGAATTTCATTTACATACTTAGTACAATATTTGATCTAAACTAGATAAGATTTTTTACTAGGAATAGCGGCGATTTTGTTAAGTGTCTGAATTAAGTTGGAACTATTGCATTTTTTTTTCAGCACACTTGTAAAATATGTAAACCTGTGCTTTTTGCCCCTGTAATCCGTTTCCCGTTTGAGCCTGTCGTTGCGCTGGAAAAAAGAAAGAAATACAATGCGTCGCTCTCTGTCTGTGTATGCAAATTCGCGAAAGCCGCTTTTGCAAATATGTGCTCTCGACTAGTAATGTACTGTGCAGGCTTGCAGGGCGCGCATTTTGTTCGTTCAGGATCGTAAATTAACTCCCGAGGCTGAATGAGAGCTGCCGTATGTACACACACACCCATCGCTAGGGCTGCTGCGAGAGACGCCCGAGTTGATACAGCGAGAGTTTGCGCCCGCTGCTTTTACAGCCGCTCGGCGTTCTCATCTCTGAAGTTTCATTTTCTTTTCATCATAATCCTCTTTAAGGTGTACAAACGTGCCTATAGTCGTTTTGGCGTTTAGTGTTTGAAATTCAAATGAAATTCAGCTCTCGACGGCAGGCAAACGAGAATATATGTGGAGCGTGAGCTAGAGCTACACTAATTGCAATAAAAGTTAGTGGCAAACTCACTAACAACATAATATCATTAGAGACAACTTTATCGTAAATGTGCATTTATGAAGTGCCAAATGCCAAACTGCTTTTCTATGATATACGTCATTTAATAATCTGAATGTTCCCGTCAATTTCAACAGCAATTAAAATAATTTTAATTTAAACCTCTAATTTTAATGATTTACTTTATTTTTTATTTTTTCAGCATTTTAACCTACTATTGAGAGTAATTTTTTTCATCTGTATCACACCTCTTACTTTACAATTGCTTCAAAACTGAACATAACAAAACAGTTAAAAAAATTATAATTTAATTTTAAAAATAACGTTATTTGTGTGTTATTATGATCAATCTACACAAAAATTTATAATCAATATCGAATAATATTTCTTATCGTTTTTTTTAAACACTGTATACATTAAAGAGACAATTTCAAATTTGCATTTGAAGCAATTTATTCATAATTTAAACATAACAAAGTCAAACATGATTTTCAGTCATGCAGTAATTTTCGCAGCGTTGCACATCAGCTGGGAAAATTCTGTTTGTTATTACATTTCCTCGTGCTCTCTGCACCACCACTTTGTTTATATTAAACCGTAATGCTGCTGGAATATATTTAAGGCGAAAGTGGCAGTTTGCTGCTTGACGCTTGGAAAGAAAGGCTTTCCCTCCTTCCTGAAACGCATAAAAAGGCCAAAGGTGAACAACTAACTTTCCATAAACTTTTAAATCCCTTCTACGGCTGTCGCTCTTTTCTTTTCGGCGCCACACAGACATTATTTCCAGACGGAGCTGCAAAATAAATATTTACAAACACATTCGCGTATAAAACGTTTTCTCACCCGTACGGGTGAGAAGTTCGTTGGCAAGGCCAGTTTGCTGCGACGGGAGGGCTCAACTTTTCATTAAGTGCGTTCTTGGAGGAAATTGAGAACAAGGAAAGCGGAAAACGCGTTTCAAAAGCTATTATTTTTTGCTTGTCAGTTTCCTTGTCCTTTGAACTCACAAGATTATTAACAAGGCCTAATTTAAATTTCTATAAAACTAAAAATAAGTAAAATCAAATGAGGCATATTGGTTGATTAAATTTTTATGTATACGCAATTTTGAATTGCTGTATATTTTTTCAGCTGCGACCAACTTAATAGCTTTTGTGATTTTCCTCCTACGCTCTTATAACAGTTTTTCCTCTTTTTGTGAGCATAGAGAGCTAATTAATATGCTGATGAATTTTTGCTTCGAAAAAGCCGCTCTGCGTGAATATTAAAAAGCGTAATTAAAAAATGAGCCGTCTCTCTCGCGTTTTCCATTCTCTGCTGCGCGAGCAGTGCATAAAAAACACTTGTGTGTTATTTGGTTGTTGTGTTGACTCTCCAGCTTTGACGCCGTTGCCAAAATAGCGTACTTTTTGCCTTATAAAATTATCATCAAAAACACACAAACATCCCATGCACATATTCTGGCCATGTTTGTCAAACAGAATGGCTAATGTGCACCACGAGCGGACGAGCCAAGGTTGCTCCCTCGGCTGATCATTAAATTATCTTCCTCTCTCTTGCACTCTCCTGCAGAGAATAATAAAATATTAGCACAAGCTCGCAAAATGATAGCAATTTTCCACCCTTAATGGGCCCGAAATATTAATGTGTGTGTCCGGAACCAAGAGTGTGTTGCGCGGAATAATTACATAACAATTTGCTTCTTTCCTGCTGAAGCAACAAAAATTTAATTAGTTCGTTTTGGGGGGAAATGCTAATCTGCTCTACAATTGAAAATTTTAGCAATAAGTTAGGACCTTCTTAAAAAACTTCTTAATCAAAAAATTTTATAAAATAAATATGTGTGAATGAATTTAAAAAAATCTGCATATTTTGCTCTCGATTTAAACGAGCAGCATAAATTTATAATCCTTTATTTTAGGCGGCAGGTCCCCCACTTTTTCACAATACGAATTCATTTTAGTTTTCCCTTCCATTACTTTTGAGGTGATACATTTTTGGTAATTTTACACAAGCTCCATAATTGACAACAACTGAATGAGGAAATTAAATCAAAATAAAATTTCTCGTTACTTTTTCTAATTTTTTATTGAGAAATCTGTTTCATGTGCAGACTGATATATTCTAATAAAAAATTTCAAAAATTATGATTTTAACATCACTCGGTCTGTATATTATACCATTTTCCAACTAAAGAAAAATGTGTCCCGAAAAACTTTCCCAAAATTTGATTTTGCTAAGAATGTTTCCCATTAGTGTTTTATGTTTCTCGTTAAAAGCACGTCAAGGGAAAGCAAAGCTCTTTTAATCCTTTCAGTTCACCGCATAAATTAACGTGCAAAAAAAAAAGCACGGCGGCGTGATTAGCAAATAAAAAGGACGCAAATATTGGGCGTACGTAGTGCCGGTTGCATAGCAATGAACCAAAAGAGACTCGTAAAGTTTAACGCGCGGCATGCGTGCTAAAATAAAAACACACACGTAAGTAGAGTCAGGAATAAAAAGTGGCGCGCTCGTAAATAAGAGATTTTTGCTCTCCATTATTTGCATACCAAATTCGCTGTCGCTTCTGGTTGGCGCGTGGCTTGAAAGAAGCGGCGAGACGCGAAAGTGGAAATATTTTATTTTCCGTCTGGCTCGGCTTGGGGCAAATAGACAAAGGTGTCTCGTTTTAATCCAAAGTGCACTTGTACTCGCGAGTGCTCCAAAGTGTGCTCGGCGATTATTTCCGCGCGTCACTAATTGCACAAAGTTTAATTACTTCTGGTTGGGACAAAGGGTCTCAAGTTTATCTTCATCAGCGCACATTTTATTTGCTAAAGCACCTCCAGCAGCGTTCTTCATTTTCACCCACCAAATATACTATTAACAACTTTTGAAATAACTGTGGGTGGTGGGGCTAAATTTTGCAAATATTTATATAGCAGTATAGCAGGACGGTTGAGAATAATTTAGGCCACAAATTTTATTAATATTATATTTTTCCAATTTTCAAATATTGTAAAACAAGATAAGCTGTTGAGAATGAGTTTTCAAAAATTTGTATCTATATTTATGTTTAAAATAAAGAATTCAACTAAAAATAGCTGTATAGAGCTTAAAAAAAATGAACTTCACTTTTGTTTAAAAACAAATTAATGCAAAATTCTTCTCCATTTTTTATAATTTCAAGTCTTCCACTGCTATTGATATGCCAATACCAATATATGATCACATTATTTAAAATCAGTGTTGAATTTTCAAAACATAAAAAAAATTGTATACGTGGCAAGAAAATTATGACAAGTTTGACAGTGCTTTTTATTATGACAAACGCATCCACCTGCAGAGCACTATCGCGCATAAGCAAACAGAAAAATCGAGTGCGTGACGATGTAGAAAAAAATTGGCCAGCGCCACTCAATGGTAATTCCGATCTGGCAGCGATCCAGCGTGTGACGGTCGGAAGTGCCGTCAACCATTGTCAGAAGCGGAAGTGCTCGCTGGTCTGGCCGCCGCCTCCGCCGCCGCTGGTCCAGCACGAAAAATGCGACAGTCGCTATTTGGATGCAGGTGAAATAAAACTGCCCGCCATGGTGTTGGAGGATGGTGGAGTTGCAGCAGGTACGTATATATTTATTTATTTTCGATTTCCATTCGCGAGCACATTTGCGGCTTATTTGCTGGAAGTAAGATCCCGCTTGAATGGCAACGAGGGAATGCTAAACGACGTGAAACGTTTTGCGGTGCGCCAAATGCTAAATCCATATTCCAGTTTGAGGGGATTTACAAAAACAAATAGTTAGAAAATGGAGCACGACAAGTGAATAAGAAAAAATGATTACATTAGTAAACACAATTTAATTATAATATAATATCTGCAATTATTTAAATTTATTACATAGGTTAAAATCTGTTATTATTGTATTATTTTTTGCCTTTATATTCTTTTTATTAATTTTACAATTTCAGTAATAATTTGTTTAGAATGGGGGGAAACTGATGAATTGTGAAGCTGTAATTTATCAGTGTAATATTTTAGATATTTATTTAAAACCAGCATTAACAAGTATTTTGGTTATCACCTTGACTAACAGGCTTATTATTTATTATGCTCTTTGCTTTATTTGATTATTTAAAATCAGTTCGAATTTTTAATTCAACTAATATGAGACTGATGTAAAAAAATATTCTAGATTCTGTACTGGAACAGTGACTGCGCTGCATATTTTTCAAATGGCGCTCACAATGATTGCATGTGCATGTAAGCGAGATTTGTGCATATATATATTTTATAATATCCAATTAAAAATGCTGCAAAAGGAAATTTGATATTGTGAGCCGGTAAGCATTAGCATAAAAGCATACATTATAGACAGATGGAGAAGTAATCGTGGAGAGAGAGAGAGAGAGCGCGGGCTAATCAGGGTGTGCTCTCGCCGCCGGCGGTTGACAGGGGCTAATGGCCTCTGCGGACTGGCTTTGCCCGCGTTTGAGTTCATCCACCCAACAGAATGTGCGCCAAATTACTCCTAATGATCGTTTGCTTGGGCATGCAAATTACACGTTCATACATAATTACGATTAAGACGGCGATTCTGCACCCTCAGGGGCTACCAAGATGGTATTCGGCCTTATCTCTAAACAATGTGACATGCAGACTAAGTAGTTTAAAGTTCATAATGATTATTGCTTGAACTGACGAGAATGCAAAGGGATTATCGAATATTGTTTTTGTCTTTAAAAATTTTACCATTTTGTTCAAAGTCAGACAAAATCTACTATTGGTCGCTATTGGTGAAAAATATTCGATCAAATTCTGTTTTTACCATAAAATTCTCAGTCAGCATATGCTACGTGCAATAATATTTGGCCGATATTCGTTCAGCCCAATTTCCGCTACTGTATTCCATCAACAACTGCTCAGTCCATGTCCTACACATACAAATCAAAGGGGAAAAATAAATTTGCAGATGAGATTACATAAAATTATGCGAGTTTTAGCTTTTGTTCCTAATTTATTTTTCAAGAAAAAAAAAACATTAATTTTTTTTTTTCAACAGAAAAATAACATTTCATGATTATGATGTCAATTATATATTATTTTATAATTAAAGAAAAAATATCTTCAAACATTGGAATATCATAAACAATTTCAATTAAATTTAAAATTTATTGAGCAATATAAAATATTTCCTTCTTATTTTTTTTTATATAATATATATGGAAATTATATATTGTCTAAGAGATCGCGTATCTAAACAAGAAAAAAATCTCTTTTGCTCACAAGTAATAAAAATGGATTTTAACTTACAATAATTAGTTATATTTAAAAGGAAGGGAAAATTTTCATTTAAATTCTAATCACCACTTTTCAAAATTATAACTATATTTTTCTTATGTGTATTCAAATATTTTTACATTGAAATATTTTCCTCCCGGACTTCCCCATACTGTCCACCGCGTAAAGGAAATCGAATTATCGAGCAAGCAGCCGTTACACTTGATGAAGATAAATTACATTATATATTTAATGCCATCTCTCGGCGCCACATCAGCGCTTTGATAACGTCATCTCATCATCTAGCGCGTAAATCCTCTAATGCGTAATATTCATGATGTGTACAACGATCAAGGGAAAATTGAAATCAAATAACGAAACTAGATTTTGATTGTGCTGGCTGCCAATTGCTAATTGCAGAACGTGGTTTTGCCACTGAATGAATTTCATTTCACACAAAGCACTTTTGTTATTAAACTTTGTGTACGCATGTTCCGCATCACATGCGCGCTTCAAAGTTGATCCTGTTGTGTGCGATGAAATGAAAACGTGGAATAATATGTACAACGCCTGTTGACGTATTTTATGTTTAACTTTTGTTGGACTAGCTGAGCGCGTTGTTACGTGGTTGGCATGATTCCTCGGAGGCCCAAACTTTTTTACTATCGATTGAAATCGTAAACCTCTCTTCATTTTTATACATTTTTGTGCGCATAAAAGTCTATACAGTGGATTCGTATTTTGAATATGCTTGAGAAAAAGCAATCAATTCTGAATCACGCTTGTGACAAAATCCCTTTTTCCGACGCACACATAGAACAGAATATTGATTGCGACTCTCGGGGCAAATAAATTCCGAACTAGTCAGCAGTCGCTTTTTGCAACGTTTCCTTTCCTGTAGCTACTTTGTATTTCAGGCATGTTTGGCTGCATAAAAAAGAGCGGCAATTGCCGTGTTTGTAAATCTCTCCGAGACGACGAAGACGACGCTACGCTGGAAGGGAGCGTCGAAAGATCTCTCGAGCCCACTCTGTGGCCCAAATTGCGATTGGAATGCGCCGGGCTCAACTTCGACCGCCGACAACTGGCACGTCTGAACCTCAGATTTGCTTCCTTTATTTCTTCCGCCGACGACCCAGAAGGTAGGCTCGACAGCAATTAATTAAATGATAGCGCCAGAGTGCTAAGCCGAAATTAAAATTCATATTTGTAGCTGGCGCTCGAAATTCCTACCAAAAGTTTCAGTTATACTCACAAACAGGTAGAAAAATTGAATATTTCGCAAATGAATAATATCTAATAGATTTGTAAGAAATATATCATGATAGCAGTAAATCCACAAAGAAGAAATTTCCACAATTTTTATAATAATTGGAAGTTCATCATAGGTTATTTTATTTCATGTTTTTCAAGAGAGAAAACAGACTGAAATAAGATCTGTTAAACTAGATTTTTTTTTAAATGGTATTATATTTATTATAAATTATGTTTATTATAAGTAAAAAGCAAAGAATTGCCACTTTTTGTCACTTTTTATTTTAATTTGAACGGAATTCTTACAATGATTTCAAATTTTTATTCAATAGATTTTTTTTTTTTGTAATTTTTATGTTTACATCTTTCCTTTGTCAAGAAATAAAATTAAAAATACAAATTTCTCTGCATCAGGTGGACTTTAATTTAGCTAACTTTAAAAAAAGGCGCATTGGATCAAGTTTATCTTATTTTAAAAGTAAAATAAACTTTATAAGAAAATTAATTTGTCTTCTAGACGGTGACACGGGTGTAGAGCGAGCCAGGGCGTCGGTCGAGCAAGCGACAGAACGACTGCTGCAGCGACTTTTGTGCACAGTGGCCGATCTAGACGCGCGATTCGCCTCAAAGTTCCTCGCAACTTTGGCTTCTAAGACGGAACGTGCCGAGCATGTAAGTTATTGCAAATTTACAGCCACTTTATCACGGCAAACAGTGCAAGCAGCACGACTCGCGCCTTTATATCGTTCGCTTTCGATCTTTAAAAGCCGCACTCGGCACACTTATTCGGCACTAGTAGTAAAAAAAAATCTGCAGCGACCGTGGCCGGGAAGACGCTTCCACTACATGATAAGACTCGACTCACTATCTTGGCCACCGCTTTATCCGAGTAAAAGTAACGCAGACGGAGCTGATGGAGATGAAAGTGGCGACGACGTTGAGACCGCCGCCTTCAGCAGGGCGGTTTTCGAGGATGGCGAGGCGGGGGTTTTGCCACCAGGTTGGCTCAGGGTTCGACCAGCGCAGGGAGCGACTGCCGAAGCGTGGGCCGAATTTTTAACTCCATCTGGATGCCTCAGAAGGTGATTTATAAAATCAGTTAAATTTATTAAATATTTAATTATTTTAACATACATTTAAAATATATTTACAAAAATTCTTTATTTGAAATTATTAAAATTATTTTTTTATTATAAATTTAAAATACATATTTTGGTTTTGCTTCGTTTACCTTTTCTTTTAAAAATCTACAAAACGTGACAAAGCTTTTAAATTTTTGATTTTTTAGAAAGAACAGTTGATCTGATTCCGGAATGCAAACAGAATGCACAATATTTCCCTTATCATCGAAAAAGTAATCTAATATATTTAAAAATTTGATTTAAAAGTGATTATTCTCAATGATAAAAAAGCACCTAATTTGAAGAATGTAAAATTTATGTATAAATTGCAAAAATTTTCCCATTAAAATTGAATTTATATTTTTTTACTTACTCTTAAGTTAAGTTTCCTCGTACATAATCAGGCAATTGCATCATTCATAGATATATTCAAGCAAAATTAGAAAGAAAATAATAATTTAAAGAAAATACTAAAATATGTTTAAACCAGGGATCGTGTGGTGGAAAGATTTGCAATGCTCCTCAGTCAAGCGGCTGGAACAAATGCCGATGATACGGAAGCAGACGAATCGCGCGTTTGTGGCAGTCCAGGCAAGGTTTTAGATGCAGCCCTTTTGCAGCAGCTCCTTTGTGAGATCAAACCGCAGCACCAGCTCTTCTACGGCCCTAGTAAAACAAACACTTTTCCCATTCTCTCGTCTCTGTAGCCAAAAGCACGTTCTCGTGTTTGCCTGCAGGCGAAGCCCAGAGGTGCCGACCGCCTGACCCGCGGGACTTCCAAGTGGCCGTCATCCACGAGGGCGGATCTGGGCCGGTGCTTCTGCGTCTCGGCTTTCACTCGCCCTCCCTGCAGCTGGCCTTTCCTCCCGAGGCGCGAAACGTGGTCGAGGTTCAGCTGCACATCGGCGTGGCGCTTTCAGGGTGGCCTTCGGAAGGCCCGTCCTTTCCCTCGCGCCTTCCGCTGCACCACCCGCTTGCCCTTCTCGCGTACAAGTCTGCGCAAAGCGTAAGTCAAGCACATTTTTTTTTACCATTGTTTCGCCTTCTGGGGCACAAAGGAAACAAACTCCTCCATTGTCTGCCGCCCTTTTGTTTTATCCCTAGTGCGTGTGCTCTTCTTCCAAAAAAGAGGATTGTCGTTGTGAACTAGAGACGGCGAAACTTTTCAAATTCGCTCTGCTCTCTTCGGATGTGACTCTTTTGTGCATGTGTACTTGTAGATAGTATTTTTTTTAGTCCCCTTTCGACTTTCGGCCTCGAACTTTTCTTTTTCGTGGGAAAATTGTTTCTCTTTTATGATGCGGAAGAATGGGGCTTTTCCTGCCCAATTCATGAATTAGATCAAAACACAACTTTCCTATTTAGTATGTGTTAGTAGATTTATACAAATGGAAGGAAAATGTCCTATTTGATTTAATCGCAAAGTGAATAAAACTCATTTCTCTCTCCCCGAGAATTTCCTGCCTCAATTAATTAACATTCCTGCCAAGGTAAATAAATAAAGGAATTCCATTGAATAAAATTCAAGCCGTCATTTTCTTCCTCTCTCTGCTGCTTTGCTTGGTCTTTTTGATGGAGTTTATTTCTCTCGGGTTTAATATACCAACAAAACGAACAAGACGTTTGTCCTGCGCTCATTCTCAATTCACCGCGCGCCTGCTTTTTCTTTATCAGACAGCCTGTGCGTCTTGAATGACGAGCGGGTTGCATAATCCTTATTCCCATGGTGCCGCAGGGCTACTTCGCACTGGCTGTGGCGCCGCCGCCCAACTTGCGATGCGAGGAACGGCGCTCCGCGTGGGCTGCTTCGTTCCCAGGGATGGAGTTGGAGCTAGATGAACACTTTTGTGCCTCGTCGACGCCAAGAAAGGCCGTCAGGGTCCTCAGACACCTGATTTCCAAAATGCGGAAAGAAGCCAACGACGACGACGAATTTGTATGCAAAATTTAAAATTAAATTATAAAATTTTATTCATAATTAAAATTTTAATAGGAGGGACTTGTCACTGTGAACGACTACACTTTGCGCACGTTAATGTGGCACCAACTGGAGCGTTGGACGAGCGTAAACGCTTGGGAGCCAGCGTCACTAGCGGCCCACGTTCTACTCGCGCTGGATGCGTTACTGGCAAATCTGAAATCTCGTCACGCCTCTCATTTTGTTCTGCCAGACTGCAACATCCTTTGCCAGACGCCCCTTCACCCTTCTCTCATCGCAAAATACGGCGATCACGTAAGATAATAAAAGCCCAGGAGCAAACGTTTTTAGTTATAAAAGTTATAAAATAAGAAAAATGTAAAATAAAGAGCTGGGATCCCATTTAATCCATTAAATTAAAGTAAATTTTTAGGGCTGCACAAATTGATAATAAAACAAATCCTCTGGTCATAACCAGCTTTGAAAAATGTACTCCACGCGTGAAAAATATAATTTTCAACAGGAAGAGGCGTGCGACGCGGCCATGCTTGAGGACACACAGTTAGTCATGGACTGTCTGCTGCGTTTGCACCAGGCCAGCACTTCCGCCTCGCCCTTGCCGCAGGGTGTGTCCTGGGACGGAGAGGAAGAGGTGCGAAGGGCTGCTGCTCTTGAAGCGGCCCTCCTGTGGCGATGGGGCACTGCCCTCAACATCGTGTCCCCTTTACCGCCAGCGATGCTGCCACCAGCGGTGCCGTGGTTTGAAAAAATTGGCAGATTTATTTTAAGGGAAGAGGAAACAATCGCTCCCCCACCTGAGCACTTTTCAAACAGGCAAATTGACTATTTGGCTCAGGTAAATTTTTAATTAAAACAAATTATATTTGCTTCCATTTACCTCTTTTTCATATTAAGTATTTAATTTCATTAAAAGTTAATTTGTATTTCTTTTTAGTTTTTTTTTTATTAATTTTTTTTTTTTTATTATTATTTTCAATTATTTAAGTTGATGCTTGAGTACCTTCGCTTCACTAAAAGTTGCCTCGCACCTCAAGCCGAAGCGGAATTTCAAAACGAAGCAGCCGTTGATGTCGGGTCCTTGAGAGACTCGGGCCCGGGTGGAGCATCCGAAGAGACTGAGGATTTTCTGTTCCTAATGCACGCAGTCGTAAATCAAGCCCTCGGCTCATCCGCGCAAACAGTCGGCAAGGGCAGCAAGAAACGACGCCGGCGGCGACAAACTCGCGCGCAGCCGGATAAACAACAGGTGAGACGGAAATAAAATCGAAATAAGGTGTGTTGAGGAAAGGTTGGCGGCAGGTGTGGCGCGACGTCGTGTGCGACGCAGTGCGACGCGAGCCCCTCGCGATCGGCGTTTTGAAAGACGAGATTGCTTTGGTGCGTCACTTGCTCCGGTGGATGCACAACGCGACCGAGCTGGCGCCGCGCGCTTTGAAGAAGAAGCTGTCTAATTTTACGATGCAGTTGTGGGCGACGAGCAGAGAGGCTGTTTGGCACCTGCCAGAGTGGAAAAAGCACAGACAGGAATGTCAGGACGAGTTGAACGCCATGGCCGCTTTTTGCACCATGCTTCTCAACTCGCAGGTAAAAATCTTTAAATTAAATTTATATAGGATTAATTTGATGTTTTTTTTTTTAATTTTCTACAAAATTAACTTAAAATTTATTTTAAGGAGGGTTGGACTGGTGTGGCCGTTTTGAAAGATGCAGCAGAAAAAGGCTGGATTTGGGCAAAAGCGGCTCAAAGCGAGCTCGTCAGATCCGGTTGTCTGCAGTTTGTTTTGGCCCCTGCAAAAGGAGTGGTGCGCAGATGTGACGTCGCCTTGGCAATTCAGCCGTCGTCTAGGGATACGAGTCCCTCACAAATCTCCAAAAAGATTTCAAAAAGCTGTACATTACCCGCAAGAACTAGTCGAACGCCGAATATATCACAAAGTATTTTTATTTTATTTTTATTATTTTTAATAAAAATATGCTTCAAATTAGATGAGCTGACGTTGAGACTAGAGCACCGGAGAGGATCTGGAGGTCACGGAATTCCTTTAATTCCCGTCCACCAGCGTTTAAGAGACGGAAGCCCCCTGTCAGTGGCCCTTGACAACCGGCGTCGACATGGACAGCAATGCGCCTTGTCTAGTCTTGTCCACGCTTTCATTGCTATGCACAGAATTTCGGTAAAATAAAATAAATAATTCAGTTTTTGTAAAAAAGCTTTTGAATAATTAATAGAGTAAATTACTAATAATAAATTATTTAAAGGTTTTGCAAGACGTGGCAGCACTTTTGCCACCACATGAGCGGCAGCCTGTGCTAGATGCGCTACAAAAGCTATCCAGAGCAAGACGTTTAACACGAATGAATTCAGACGTTGGTTTTGAGGAAAAATTTACAATGAAAAATTTTGAATTTCCAATTCTAGACCCTCTTGGGAGACCGTTTGATGGTACGTTATTATTCCGTTTACATTTTTTATTGCTATGTTAATTAATCTCTTGCAGATTCAAGAAATGAAAACTGTCGAAAGAAGTTGGTCGACGCTGCAAATATGGCAATCAACATTTTAGGTACTTGCCGCAACGCTCGTACTTTACAAAGACGGCACAGCCTTTACTCGCCGATGGGCAACACTTCTTTAATTTATTCAACGTCACCTGCCAGTATTCGTCGTCGCCATGCTGGAGCGCCAATGCAGGGAATTGCCCTTTTGCAACTCTCAGATGGAGGACAACTAACACTTAACAGCGGGAGTGATAGAGACACAAGCCAAATGTTCTAGCGACCAAATTTTTTCTTCCTACAAAATTAATTTTGCATAAAAATTACAAAAATAATTTAATGATTGTTTGCAAGCGTCATCATGCAACTTTAATTCAAACTGTCTGCACTTGTGATTTGTGATATGTATAAAAATGTATGAACGCATTACATGAATAATATACATCAGCTTAGAAAAACATTTTATGTATATTCACTTTTTTAATTTAATTAAAATTAAAACAATCTTATTCACTATGGAAGTTTATGAATTTCATAAAAAATGTAATTCATTGATCATTGATCATAATTTACCGATTGATTGCCAATTAAAAAAAAAGATAAATAATACTGCAATTAACCTCACACAAATCAACGCACTTTATGTATAGTCATGCCTCTTTTTCGCCAATTTGTTTTGAATTTTTCATTCTCATCCTTCCCATTGGCCACATGTGCTGTAGTAAACACCGGTCAGCCAATGAACGCACAGCAGCATCATTTCCCTCCAACGAAAACAGAAAGTGAAATGTGCCTCCAGAATTTTTTCTAATTTCTCAAAATTTAATTGATCCTGGACACTGAAATGTCATCGCCAGCAGCGGCGAAGGGAAAGAGAAGCGCTGACGAGGCGCTGCTCGCAGACGAAGTGTCCTGTCCGATCTGCTGCAGGGTTTTTACCGTGTCCGAAATCGAGGAACACGCCGACAGGTGTGCCTTTCTCAATTCACCGTCGCCTTCCAGCAGCTTTTCCCAGCCCCAGCAGCGGATCAACAAAAGACCAAGTCCTGCTGCAGCGCAAGCAAAGGGTAGAACTTCTGCAGACTCGCAGGGGCCGAAGAAACAGAAGCTGTCAGGTGACCAGTTATTTGAAAATCCAGATCATGTGGAGCCGCAGAATGGCACAGCTGAAAAACAACTACTGCAGGTTTGTGTGGAAGTGGAAATTTATTTTAGGAATTTTTAATTAATTTATAATTTTTTACTCGTGGCTTAACAAAAATATTTATTCCAGACCACCACTTCTAAAATGGACCGTTCATTCTCAAAAGAAGCAGAGCCTGAAGTTAGTTTGAATAAATCAGCACCACTAGCAGAACAAGTTCGGCCGAAAGAACTGAGCACCTTTGTTGGACAGGAAAAGGTCATGGGACAGCACAGCATGTTGCGGTCACTTCTTCGAGAGGGTGAAATCACTAGCATGATCTTATGGGGTCCTCCTGGTTGCGGAAAAGTATTTCGCATCATAAAAAAAAATACTGTCTTAAATACTAAATTCTTACATTTATTAGACAACCCTGGCGAATATTGTCTGCCAGTACTGCAAGCAGGGTCGGATCTCTGCTCGGTTTGTGAAAATGTCTGCTGTTGCTTCTGGGGTGAACGATGTGAAAGATGTGGTGAAGGCAGCCAAAAGTGAGATGAACATTTGCAGAAAGCGAACTGTCCTGTTCATGGATGAAATCCATCGCTTTAACAAGATGCAGCAGGTATGGTGACTTTTTTTAATGGAAATCAATTAAAATGAAAATTTAGGATGTTTTTTTGCCACACGTCGAGTCTGGGTTGATCATCCTGATTGGGGCGACTACGGAAAATCCTTCTTTCAGTCTCAACAATGCCCTACTCAGTAGATGCCGCGTCATCGTGCTTGAAAAGCTGTCCTCTGAAAATGTGAGCACCATCCTTAAAAAAGCCCTAAACTCTCTTGGTGCAAGCGTCATTCCTGAAAACCAAAATTTTAAGGAAATTCAGAGGTAATTAAATTTATAATATATAAACACTTTTTTTAATTCCTTATTTCAAGGGCAAAACTGTCTATCGAAGAAGAGGCTCTGAAGTTTCTGGCCGAGATCTGTGATGGAGATGCAAGAATCGCCCTCAATTCACTTCAACTAGCCTTCCAGTCAAAAACTCATGCAGATGTCGAAGAAAACATTCTCGTCACACTTACGGACATTGAAGAAGGCATTAAGGTAAAAAAATTATATATCAGTTATTTTCATGTTGAGTTTGTATTGATTACAGAGGTCTCACATGTTATACGACAGAGGCGGAGAGGAGCACTACAACATCATCTCTGCAGTTCACAAGTCAATTCGAGCCTCCGACCAAAATGCAGCCGTGTACTGGACAACGAGGCTCATCGTAAGTGATGAAGACCCACGATACTTGGCCAGGAGACTCGTCCGAGCCGCTGCTGAGGACATTGGTATAAATTTAAGACTTGATCAAAATTTGTGTAAAATAAAATAATTAAAATAGGCATGGCCGATCCTGCGGCCCTACCACTAGCAGTTGCTGCAATGCAAGGCTGTCAGCTGCTGGGAATGCCAGAGGCAGACATCCTCCTCACAGAGTGTGCAGTTTACTTGGCTAGGTAAGTCTATGATGAATGATGAATATTTTTTCTAAAACCTTAAAAACAGGGCACCCAAATCTCGTGAAATGCAGAACTGCCTTGACAAAGCAAAGGAGTGCATTGCCAATCACAAGGGGCCCCAGCCTTCCGTTCCACTCCATCTCAGAAATGCACCTACGCGGCTAATGAAGGATTTGGGTAATTTTAAAACATTAAATTTAAGTATATAATTTATGGCACTTCCATTTTAAATTTTTACAGGGTACGGCAAAGGGTACAGCATGATTCCTAGTGAAGTTCCAGATTTAAAATATATGCCCGAGGGGCTGGAGAATGTTAATTTTTTTTAGTCGCAAAGATAAAAAATTATATTAAAAGACAAAAGTGCCATGTTTAAAATAAGTCTAATAATTGTTTTGTTTAAAAGTTCTTAAATTTCAAAATATTACAAGTGATTTGATCCAATAAAAATTTATGTTACCTATTATGATTTTTTTTTTAGAAAAAGGATGTTTTATTTGAAAAACTTTTACACCTGAAGCATAATTTAAATAAGTAGTAATGATTCCGTACAACTGATGAAATTCTTGCACTATTATTCTTAAACACCTGGCACGAAAAGTTCTGAGAATGTATATCTATGACCGCAATTTTGAAATATGGTCACACACTTTGAAGTCTTAACGATGACGAGCCTTCTTGTTTCCTTTCTTCACGCTGCTACTACTGCTGCGGTGTTTGCTGCTTGAGTGGCTGGTTTCCTGCTTGGCTGGGGTGATTGTGTCCGCAATCATGGACGAGCCGTTGAGTGCTGAGGAGGTGGAGCCGTTCAGGTCCTTTGTGTCGATTTCACTACTGCCCTCGGACTCGCTGTTGTTGTCTGAAATACATTTTGAGATAAATGAGATTATAGCACTCATTACAAGTTATTTTACACACACCTTTGTCTTGAGATCCCTCGTCTGCTAGACCACTCACAGCAGCCATAGAGGTGATGGAGGATTTGGAAAAGAGTCTTTCGGCCTCTTTGAACTTTCGGTTGCGTTTGTCGCTGGTGCTGGCCTTATTACTGGCCAGGTAGCGGTCCCAGCCTCTAATAATATTTCCATACAGCTGAGTGTCTTCCAGATAGCTGCCTTCGAATGCATAGATTTGCCTCTCCAAACTAGCCAATGTTTCCTGCGCAAAAGGTACCGAAATGTAATAAAATTTAAATTTCACGATAATTTTTGTAAATTTTTCTTTCGAAATCTTACCGCTATTTCGGCTTTTCTCTTTACTAGGTCGCCTAATTCGTTGCGAGTGTCTTGCGATGTTGTTTTCGAAGCCATATTTGTTGATGTTTTGGTTTGTACATTTTTAGTACTCATAATTGACACGATGGCGCAAAATGACAAAATATTTCAAATTTTCCCGCAAGTGAAAAGATTCAAACTAAAGATGGCGTTTGACTGACTTTTTCATAAAGATAAGAAAGAATGCAATACATAATTATCAACTATCAACTATAAAAAACTCGTAAATTTGCACGCAAGCCATGTTTTAATTTTTGAGCAGAGCCAATTAGAATTGAGTATTTCGTGTTCTCTTGAGACGACCACATGTAAACATAAAACAACGTGGTTTTTGCGTTTGCATTTTAATTGTGTGAAACTAGGACCACTGTGTCTGTAAACTGATTTTTCGTCATAAGTACTTTGACACAGCGATTGCAAAGATTTAATTTTAAAAATGGGACGTAAGGCGAAATTTGGAGAGGAAAAACAGAAAAAGGGGCCCGGTAGAAAAGCAAAGAAGCAGGGCGATCCATCATTTCCAAAGCATCTTACAGGTTTTAAATTTATTGCACTTAATTATCTTTAATAATACTAAAATCTTTTACTTCAGAGGATGGTATTACCTTGAAGAGAAATTCGCGTCACCAAAGACTGCGAGCCAAGTTAGCTCAGCGAAAAATTCAAGAGAAAGAAGCTGCCAAAACAAAAAAGAAAGAAAACAGGCAGCCTAAGAATGGAAATGCAGAGGGTTTGTTAAATTTAATTTTAAAACAAACTTTGTTTTAATATTTTATACTTATAGCCAAAGCTGCACTCAATAAGAAGCACCCTAAAGAAGAAGATTTGCTTGAGAAACAGGATGAGCTAGACAGTGAAGGAACTACGGAATTTAGTGACAGTAGCGAGGAGGAAATTGAAAAGCCTCAGAAGAAAAAGCTCACGAAGACTGGCAAGAAAACTGTTGACGATGCATCTAAAACTAAAAAGAAGCCTCTCTTCAAAGAAGGTGTAATACAAATTTACTGTTGAATTGGTTTTATGTGCATTTTTTTAGACGAAAGTGAGGACCATGAGAGCGACGATGAGTTCGAAGACAAAGACTTGGACATTCCTGATGATGATTTCGGATCAGCAGAGGAGGATGAGGGAGTTGAAGGGGAAAGTGGTGACGAAGAAGAGGAAGTTAGTGGAGAGGAAGACGAAGAGAGCGACCAAGAAGAAGTGGATGAAGCGGAGGAATCCGACGGAGTTTCTGACAATGACCAAGACGATGAATCTGGAGATTCTGATGACGATGGTTTGCTTCCAATTGAAAGAGCAAACAAAAAGTTGAAGAAGAAGATGGCAAAGGAAAAGTTAGAAATTTTAATTGACATAAAAATTTTGCAACGGCTAATCTTAATTTAACCTGCAGAGCTGAAGCTGCAGCAGAAGAATTAGAAATGAATGTCACCACACATGACGTCTTCCAGTTTCCTGGAAGTGAGGAATCAGACAAAATTGAAGGTTTGCAAGACGTTCAGCAAAGAATGAAAGATGTCATTATGGTGCTCTCCGACTTCAAGTAAAATTTTTTTTAGATCTTAAGATTTCCAATTTTTAACTCATTTTTTTATTAGACGTTTAAGGGAACCGGACAGGAGCCGCAAAGACTACTTGGCTCTTTTGCTGAAGGATCTCTGCCTCTACTACAGTTATAATGAGTTTCTAATGGAAAAGCTCATGGACATCTTTCCTCTTAGCGAGTTGATGGAATTTCTAGAGGCGAGTGAAGTTACTCGTCCGGTTACCATCAGAAGTAATTCTCTAAAAACAAGACGAAGGGACCTTGCTCAGGTAAACATTATTTTGTTCAAGTTTCATAAATAATGATCTTCTATTTTAGTCCCTCATTAGCCGCGGTGTTAATCTGGATCCGGTCGGTAAATGGACCAAGGTTGGTCTTGTTGTTTTCAACTCGCAAGTGCCTGTTGGTGCCACCCCAGAATACCTTGCTGGCCACTATATGCTTCAAGGAGCATCCAGTTTGCTTCCCGTGATGGCCCTTGCACCTCAGGAGAACGAACGAATTTTGGACATGTGTGCTGCCCCAGGAGGAAAAGCGTCACACATCGGTGAGAAATATATCATAACAACATGCATGATAAAATATAATATTATTTTTTTCTAATTTAGCGGCTGTAATGAAAAACACTGGTGTTCTATTTGCAAATGATGCAAACAAGGAGAGAATAAAGTCCGTTGTTGGCAATTTCCACCGTCTTGGAGTGGTAAATTCTGTTATCACAAACATTGATGGACGAAAGTATCCTCAGGTACGTAAAAGTTATTTCGAAATTTATTTGGTTATTTCTTATTTAATTTTGTCTGTAGCTGATGAAAGGTTTTGATCGGATTTTGCTGGACGCCCCATGCACAGGCACTGGTGTGATTTGCAAAGATCCCAGTGTCAAAACCAACAAGGACGAAGCCGACATTCAAAAATGCACCAACCTCCAAAGGGAGCTCATTCTTGCTGCAATCGACTGCTTGAGTCCAGCTAATAAATCGAAGAGTGGTGGCTACCTTGTGTATTCCACTTGTTCTATTTTGGTAATAATAAATCTTAAATACTGGAGTGAAATTTTAATTAAATTACTATTATAGCCGGAGGAAAATGAGGCAGTAGTTGACTTTGCTCTTAAGCACAGAGATGTTCGACTTGTTCCCACAGGCATTGATTTTGGCGTGGAAGGTTTTGTTAACTTCAAACAGAATAGGTATGTTTTTATCTTAATTAAATAGAAATGTTGCTGATCTTTGTTGCGTAGGTTCCACCCAAGTATGAAATTAACCAAGAGATTCTACCCACATGCGCACAACATGGATGGTTTCTTTGTTGCTAAGCTGCAAAAGCTTTCGAATACTGTTCCGAAGTCGAGGAAGGAGATGAGAATTGAGGAGGCGAAAGAAGAACAGGAAAATGAGGTAAAAGCTTAACAAACTTTTAATTTTGTTCGTGCTTAATTATTATATTTTACCTTATAGGATGATGCTCCCAAACAAAAGAACAAGCATAAGCAGAAGAAGCGTGCAGCAGAAACTGAAGATTCTGAGCAGGAAGTCCAAAAGGAATCTGTAAAGCCTCCTAAGAAGAAGCAGAAAGTAGCAAACGGGCAGCCCGATGGATTATTCATTCTTCCCAAAAAAGATCAGCTTTTGCAAAAGGAAAACGCTAAGGGAAAACCCGGCCAGAAGAGCAAGGGTTCAAATGGGTTGGGTAACAAACCGTCGCCTAAAAAGGCCAAGAAGCCAAACAGCGCCAATGGTCAGGGGTCAACGACCCAAGCAGCAGCTTCTCCAAAGGGAAAAAAGGAGGAAAGAAATTTTAAAAAATATAAATCTAAGCAGCCTAAAAAAGGTTTGAAGATGAAGAGAAAATAATCATAAAACACTGAAGAATGATGATTGTCAGGCCTCTTGCTTCCAAAATAAATACTTTGAAGCTATAAATTCAGATTTTGTATTGATTTTCCCATTACCATACTTAGTCTATTTGCACAAACAATTTTGACTGCAAAGTTTATTGAAGTCTTAAATGTTTGCAAGGCCTTTGATATCTTGTATGATAAACTTACCAAAACTTTGACCTTATTGTTAGCTCTAGAGCCTTGAGAGAAAATTGGTCTTGAACCTGACAGAGATTTAATTTTTTTTTTTTTATATTGGATAAAATTCCAAATTGGGTTTCTCTATTGGAAAATAATTGTTTGTTGAAAATTTAAAATAATATGAAGAGAAAAAACCATTCTCATATCATTACCTTGAACAAACAATTATTTGCTAAATTATTGAAAAAGTATTTTTTTTTCTAATATTTTATTAAAGAAAGATTTAAACAAAATAATAAATGAATTATGTTCAATTGTAAATTGAATGCTCTAGAGATTCGTTTGTTCCACTTCGTAGAAAATTAATTATTCTGTCGCTCACGGCGATTGTTGCCCGGGCGGCGTCGGTTGCCCTGGGTGTAGCCTTGGTACGGATTATAGGGCTGCTTGGGTGGCAAAGGGCCCCAGTTAGAAGGAAGCTCGCGGGAATCGTCAAGATTAGAAACGTAGCCCATAAAATAGATTTCCTGGTTGGACGAGCTGTAAAAATCAAAGTGACGTTCGTTGACCTGCTCGGCAATGAAATACAAGAAGGGGTGCGAAACGTTCATCACGATTTGAGGGGTGTTGGAAAGAAGGATGGCCTGGACGGCAGTGGCGGCTGACCCAGTGGCACCCTCTTCGTCAACCTTCAGGTTGGCCTTGTGCAGCACCTCGGACAGCTGGATGTTGCGGTCAGGGGAGATTCCGGAAATGTCAGCCGACGGGCTGAAGACCTGGGCGACCTTACCGGGGAGGATGGTCTTGAGATTCTGGGTGGTGGAGGCCTTGAATTTTGGCAGGTACAAAGTCAGTTGGATGGGGTTGTTCATGGTCTTCAGGATGTCTCCAAGAGATTCGGGGGTGAGTTTGTTGATCAAGTCCTTTAGTCCGTTGGGATCTGTGGGCAGCACCACGTACATAGCGTGGTTCTCGGGCACCTGGAAAGGCAACTCGATGACTTGGGCGTTGAGGCTCTCAACGGTGCCGTAACGGAAGTGCTCGTAGTTCCTCATCATCTCGGCGAGTTTGGGCTTCAGTTCACCGCTGTGGCTTTCATAGAAAATTCCATCGGTGACAGTTTCCTCCGAGTCAAATTTCTTTGTCCACTTGGCGGTGAGGTGGATGGCGTTGACCATCATGAAGACCGACTCGGGACTCAGGGATTGAGGGCTGATCAGTTCGGAGATGCCCTTGTTGGTGATTCTCCTGACCCATTCGTTGATGTTGTAGGCAGCGCTGCGGGGACGAGAAAAGTCAGCGTACTGGAATTCAGCTTTGTAGCTCGAAGTGAGCTTTTCCTTGAAAGCTTCGTTGATGTTCAGGTTGTTGCTCAGGTAGAATGAGTTGCCCATCGCAATTCCGCCTCGGGACGAATAGCCCAGGACGCGACGAATGCTGCGAGTGTCCCCGAGGGCCTCCTCCAGGTCCGTTTTGGTCTTCCCTTGGGCACCTTCGCTCAACATGGCAAGCAGGGTGCGGATACTGAGGGGAGAAAAGGTGATGCCGCCATCAGGGTCGCTTTCGTAAATATGCTTCAAAAGCTGCAATTCGATTTCACCGAACTTAGATTGGGCCGCACCGGCTCCTCTCTCACCCCCGGGATAAAAGCCGCCACCGCCGCCGCCTCCTCTGCGCTGGGCCCAGCAAAGAGCCACCAGGCAAAAAATCACCAAAAACTTGTCCAACATCGCTCTTCCAGCCTCTTACAACCGCTGCCTGACGCCGACTGATCTGAAATTTAGCGAGTAGCAACAGTGAGTATATTTAATTGATTTGACCTTGGCTTCGAGGTTAGAAGGAAAACCCAAAAGAATAAATAACAAGTGCGTCAAGAACTTAATATTATAATCTTTGATGCTCTCGTCTAAATTAATTTTGTCTTAAAATTTCCCTCAGTCTATAGAAATACATTTTTTTTTCTCTGTATTCAAGTAATTAAAAAATTAACCTTAATTTTCGGCTTCTACTCTGACGCTTTTTCTAAAAGGTTGTCTTCGCGATGCTTTCTTTTGCTATGTTTAGCGACTTATGAGAGACTTAAGGAGGGGAGTTAAAATAAATGTGTGCGTTTAGTGGGTTCAGTAAAATTTGTATTACGTCGTCTCTGGTATGGTAGAAGGAGGAAAGGCCGGGTCAAATTCAAGACCTTTGAATGGTGCTCATGCCCTCCCTTCTCTTCGCTGGGATTTCCAGTGCTCCGCCGTCTCCATGCGTTCTTCTGCACGCAGTTGATTCTGGATTTTTTGTTGTTATTATTAGCAACCCACGTGACCGGCAGGATGCAGTAGTGGCAAGTTGTGCGACAAGAAAAATCTAAAAGGGATTTCCTGCATCGATTAGAATATGAAATTCGTTCATTATTTAATTCAAATTTTACCCTCATCTAAAATTTTTTAAATTTCAGTTCTAAAAATTGCTTTTAAGTCTGTAAACGTTATAATTAAATGATTTAAATCCTAATTATTATCCTTTCTGGAGTCTCTTGGGTATTCAAGTGGGCACACGCCCCCTTCATTTTGTGCAGCGCTCGCATCCGCACGCACTTGTTCATTAAGTTGTTTTTCCGTCTACCACCACCTGCCACCTTTTACTCTCCCTTTCAATCCTATGCAGCTGATTATCCATTCACTATTCACTTCTTTAGTTCCTCTGTTTCTCGCGATTCTTATTCTTTCGTCATTTCCTTTATCTCTAGAGCTAGAAGTGAGCACTCAAAAGTCAACGAAAAAATAATTTCGTCATCGCATACAAAATAATGTTGCTTTTGTGATAGCAAACCGTGCAGCGTGGCTATTTTTGTTAAAATTTTGTAAAAACTTAAAGAGATCGAGTTGTAAAAAACACCTAGCTGTGTGAAGAAAGAAGCATTTAAAAATTATAAAATTAAAGTAAGTACACAATTAACAGACAATGTTATTGATGTTTTCTAGCTAGCTAAAAAACTATTAATTATGTGGGTAAAAAAATATTACTTTAATGAAAATTCGGCCTGGTGCCTGGAGAAAATAATGATTTTTGTCTCATTAATTGTGGATAATTTAGAAGTAGATATTGCGCGCTATTCTTCTTATCAGAAGAGAAAAATTTATAAATTGATATAATTAATTAAAATTTGTGTTTCTATTTATTTGTATTAAAGGGGGCAAAAAGATGAATTTTATAAAATAAATGCATTGTTTATTTTAATGCATCTGATTTTTAATTGCATTATTATTTGTCAATGACGCAGCGAAAACGATAATGCAGCACAATTTGCTGCATTATTTGCAGTGCAATTGAATTCAAATTACAATTCAATTTATTTGAGGTTTGAACCTTATTTAAATTAAAAGTAAATTTAATTTAATAAGGTTAATTTAATTTTTTTGTTTTCAAGCGATTGCAATAAATTGTAATTTAACAGTAAATAAGCATAAATGTTCCATTTCAAGCTCTCAAAATCCAGCTAGCTTTTTTATAAATATATTAATTTTTTTATTTTCATATGATTTTTACCCCTCAACGTTCTTAATTAAATTTAGTAAAATTGTGAGTGCCAAAGCTCGACACGTTTTTATACGGCAACCGATACTAAAATTGTTGCAAAGCCATCGTTATGTCCGCTTTGGCAGAGTTAAGGGCTCAGTTATATAATGCCGGAAAAGTTATCAAATGACCTGAGGGCAGAGCCAGCACAATCGCAGATAAGCGATCTCTCTAGGTCAGCTTTTGGAGAATTTATTTACACAATTCAAAATCCGATCGGAGAGAGACTGTTGATCGAGCTTGACTGTGAGGAACAGTTACAATATTTTTTTTCATTGTTGTTTAGTTTATTTTTAAAATAGATGCAAAGTCATATTGTTAAAAAGCAAATCGTTTGAACAAAAAGGAATTGTTTGAAAAAGCGCACCATAAAATATAAGATTCAGATTTAATTTAAATTTGTTTTGGTTCAGAATGGTTTTGGACGAGTACAAAGACCTGGTTGGAGCAGTGGCGTCGGTCACCACCATCCTGCAGTTTTTCTCAGGAGTGTAAGTGACTAAAATTTTTAAATTTTTTTGCCATAAAAAGGAACATTCGGGGCTGCTTTCAGTTTCGTCTGCTTGGACATCAAAAAGAAAGGGAACTCTGGATCAGATTCAGTCTTGCCGTTTCTAGGAGGATGCGTGATGTGAGTCAAATAATTCACCTTAAAATTTATAATTGCAAAATTAAAAACAAAAATCAATAATTTAATTTATGTTTGTACGACTTTCATGAATTACTTGTTAAATTTTTAGCCTTTTTAGAAGCTTTGGCATTTCTGCCCTGAATTTATATAACTTAGTAAAAAAAAACCGCTGGCAAGAAGGAATCACAAAATTTATCTCCGCAGCGGAGCCCTGAACTTGAAATACTCGTTTCTGCTGGCCGACTCGGCCATGACGGTGGTCAGCGCCGTTGGTGTGCTGATAAACTTGGGCTACCTCGCCTTTTATTACGCTTACTCAAACTGCAAGGTAAGCGCAATGCATAAAACTCGTCTGTTTTCCCAGTTATTTATGAGCCCGTAAAACTCTCTTGCCTACAGGGTGAAGTGAACAAGGCCATAACGCAGGGTGTCATCTTCGCCCTGTCGCTGCTCTTTTACGCCCAGTTTTGGGAGGACCCGGAACTTGTCGAGGACCGGTTTGGCGCCATTCTGACCGTGCTCATGCTTTTGCTACTTGCCTCCCCACTGCTCTCGCTGGTATAATTTAAATTACCTCATATAAAGAATAAATTTAGTTGCTTTTTTCAATACAATATCATATACATATATTATTGTTAAATTTAAAAAAAGCTCTTTGTGATAGCAAAATTTCTTTAAAATCATTTTTAATAATAAAAAAAATTAATATTATTTTCATCTTAAAAATCTCTTTCTTGGAAAACAGGGTGAAGTTATTCGTACACAGAGCACCGCATCTCTACCATTCCCAATAATTTTGGCCAGCACTGTTGTGACGTTTGAGTGGCTCCTTTACGGAATCATCATTGACAATATATTCATTCAGGTTCGTTCCTTTCCTATCCCCTCCCAAGGACCCCAAGGCGTAATTATATTTTTTACTTATTCCACTTTTAAAATCACAGATCCAAAACGGAGTCGGTTTAGCCCTCTGCGCATTGCAGCTGTCCCTCTTTGCCATTTATCCACGCACTCCAGTCGACAAGAAGAAGGATTAAATAACTTCATCTTGCAGCATTTTACATTCCTCTTAAATTATTTCTATTCAGCCTGTGTGATAGCAGCAATTTTAGAAATCTAAGATATTCCACGCTTTTTGCTAAAAATATTAATGACTATGTCTTCCACGTAACAGCCAAAAATGATGTTTGTCGAGAATGAATTAGAAAGTAATTATACAAATTACTGATATATGGACAATAATATTCCAAACAATTATGATATGAAATTGTAATATTCCATTTATAAATCAAATGAATAACCATTCCTAATTCGGACAATAATGAATTTTATAAATTGGATTAAATATGCAAGACTTAACTATAGTCTATACTTTCCGAGGTGGCCCTAAAAGCTTCTATTATGCGATACAATTAGACTAGCATTTGTGATTATATATTTATGAAGTCATCTTTAGGAAAGATTTTGCAAATTCTATAGTATAGTTTGTTTCAAGTTGCTTCGGCTAGTCTAAAAAATATACATTTTCATGTTCGTTTTTTAATTTTCTGTAATGAAAATGATTTTCTTTTTCATACATATTTTGATTTTTTGTTACTCTTCGTTTTGTTAAAATAAAAATTGAAGTGTTATAACTTCATTTCAATCAACACGTTTTATTCATGTGATCCTTGATCAAATCAAACTACTTGCAAAAATAAAAATCTTTTAATTTCATTGAATTTGCGCACATAATAAACAACTCCATTTTAAATTTTTATAGTGATAAACAGTATTTTATTAAAATTTTATAGAGCGTAATGAAATGTTTTCCACAAGCTGCATTAAAAAATAAAAACAATAAATTGCAAATCATTTCAATTCTTTATAATAACATACAATCAGCACTAATTTGAGACTTCCCAAGTTGATAAGTAGGCTTTCCTCATCTTTTTTTAGAGAGATATGAGCAAAAGGTCCAAGGGCACTCGCAAAAGATCCTTGTCCCTTATTGGCCGCAAATAGAGATAAGCCCGTGCCATTTTCCCCGCCGTTAGCACGTGCTCGATCTGCCTCATCCTCATGTGCTGCCGCTGGCAAGTATAACTAATGAGCCCCTTAGGTTGCGCTCGACGCAACCCGCTGGACACATCTGTCAAACGTGAGGCCTACCCGAGCGGCTCCCGCTGAGAGCTCACCCTGTGCGCGCAAACATTCATCTCCCAGCGCGCGTCAAACAAAAAATTAAGCAAAGCACGCTGTCACGAGGACAAATTAATGACCTTCTGGGCTTAGCTGCAAAAAAGGCACGAGACGGTCAGTGTAACAGTGGTGTGCCCCTCATTTTTTTCTAAACATGGGCTAGTTTTACAACTATTTAAAAATAGGTCAGGGATAAAAAGAATGTTTTTTGCTTTTGCATTCTACTAAAATCTACTTTTTTTTATATCACGGAATAAATGAAAAATGAATGAAAATTTTACTTACAGAGTATATTTCTGAATTATAAATGATGAAGAAAAAATGAACAACCAACTAGTTCTTTGTTCTTTTATTTTCCACAAAGGGAGGAACGTGATAAGCTATAATATCAATTAGAAGCAACAACTGCTGCTGCACGGCATCTCATTTCAATCCAGCAATTTGACCTACATTTGCATTACTCTAAGTAATAATACCGAGAGTATACATTTATAAAAAGCAAACGAATCATTCGAGGAAAAAATGTACGCCAAATTACTGAAAACCGTGTAATGAAAAATTGAGGCGATTTCCTCTTCCAGAGGCGATTTGAGCGTTTGTTATTTTGCTCTACGTGTGAATGTGTGTGTACGGCTAAAATTCCTTTCCGTCCGGCCCATTAGCCGAGGGATGCGTGAACTGCTCTCTAACAATCGGGGGTCGAATGCGGTTGCGCGGCCTGCCTGCTTTCAGGGGCACGAGATCGAACTCGGGGTAGCAGCAGCAGCAGTGCGGGCCTCCCTCAGCGTGCAGCCGCGATCCGCAAACAACAAACGCCGTTTGCTCCACTAGCTTGTTTTGCAAAGTGAAAATTCGGTGGCCGACATGCCCCCGTGGAGGCCCGCAGCGACGAGTGGCCGCCTCCGCGTCCCCCCATCGGCCGCCGAGCAGCAAATTCGCAGCAGTGCCAAATCGTCGTCTACATGATGTTGGCCACCGCGACACTGGCAATCGCCACTCTCTCGCTCCTAACTGCCAGCAAGGTACTTTTATTTAGGGCACGTATATTCAAGCGCAAAATAATTTTCCCGAATGATGCAAAAATCGACTTTATACGCGATATTCCATTCTGCTCGTTGTTAGAGAGGTTTTGTTTGTGCAAACTTTGCATCTTTTGTTCTCAAATGGAAGAAGTTATTTCGACGCCTACGCATCTCTTCCCTGCGTTGTTTGCATCCGTTGACATTTCCTTGTTGTTCCTTATTCTGCTTGTGAACTCGTTTCCCTTTACAGAGCAATTTGTGTCAACTAGTTTATTTTTCTGTTCTCTCCTTACTACGTCTTTATGTTTTATTTTCACCTAATTTTCTTTATTAAGAGAAAAAAATAATATTTTTAAAGAGATTTTTCAATCAATGTTCAAACATTTTTAAAGGATTATTACGAATTCAGCCAATTCAGATTTCTTCTTTCCAGTAGTGGTATAAAAAATAAAATACTAGCAATAAAACTAACAACTCTCATGGGACTTCACTAATTTTGACTGACATTTTAAAGTGACATTTGCAAGAAAGTGCATTAGCTTTTTATGGATGTGTATAAAGTTGTCCTTCGCGCCCCAGCTTACATGCCTTGCAGTGTTTCTCTTGCAGGCACTTCTCGTCACCGACAAATCTCGGCGTCGTCACAACAAACACTTTTTAACAGAATTTTATAGTGACTTTATTTGAAAGAAATAAAAAGGTGGCTCAGAGAAGCCACATGAACAATGCGACTAGAATAATATTGGAAATTCGCCGTTCCATCCCACGAGAGTGCGATGGTGGAGTTTGACATTTACATCACCCATCACAACACGGGCAAGAGCAAAGTTGACGCGTTAGCGATATTGATTTGTGTGTCAAAGCCTCCATCCAACCCCCAGTTCAACAACAACGTAGCGTAGAAAAATTATTTTAACACCCTCATCTAAAGTAACATTGCCTGGCTACTGAATTTTTTAATGGTTTATTTTAATCACACGATAAATCACCCTTGAGAGCGATTAATAATAATTTCCGAATGAAAAGACAAAAACACTCTAAGCTGATTGCTGAAGCCTTTTGTGAAGGCATCAAAGAGCCGCGGGACATACCACTGATCCCTATATGTTTCAACACCGTTCTACCATTTTTTTTTATATCTACATAAATATCATTGAGAAAAATTCAAATTATTAAGGAAATCAATTCTAAATTGGTATATTTAAAACTTAAAAATTTGCTGGTTTTCCCACTATAGTTTCTTTCCAGCAAATCGAGCATCACCAACGTAAAAGGAAAAACTTTTTCTTTCCTTCAAACTGTTCTCGCGCCTCGCGACTTTTCTTCTCACTCAGCCGCAATCAGAGTGGAGCCAGGTTTGACTTTCTTGAACTCTCGGCAGACGATAATCTTGAATCGTGTTTCGCCAACTTGCTCTCTTTCTTCGCGCGTGAATTTCGTTAGTAGTCTTGACCTCTCCGCTTTTTGTTTGAGCCTCTGCTGCAATCTTGCAGCACTCTCTGCTGCTTCTACACCACCGCCGCTCTGGATCATTACACAAAAAAGCGGTGCTTTTTCGCAGTGAGCGAAGACCGCTGCTTTTTATGTGCTTGGCTCGATCTTGTCGCGCGCCCAGCCTGCTTTGGCCCAAAGTAAAGAAAGACGCTTTTGCCTTATATCTTCGCCCTCTGGATGGATATTATTTATATGCTCTCAGCTATTGCCAAAGCGGGTAAAGAGCGATCGATACTCCCAACGAGCAAAAGAGTCTCTCTTTCTCATTCAGCCGGATGCATTTCGCACGACGCATATACTCACAACCAACCCCTAGTGCCCTACGTGCCGTTCTTTATGTGTAGGAAGAGAAAATAAATAAGTGTGTCGAGGGAGCAAATTTTCCATCTTCCCAGGAAAAATCAAATTTATTGCGCCGCCTGAAAACATACACACGTTCGAGCCTTAGAAGGGCTAAATAAAATTGAAAAAGTTGGAGAGAAGGAGAAAAAAGCAAAAATATTCTTGAATCCTGTTTAATTTTTCTAATTTATTTGTCAATTTTTTAAATTTTGTATACGCTGTTTAAAAAAATCCTTTTGAACTAATATAAATTATTTCGCGTGATTAGTTAACTATTCTAAAAACTGACTTATGGCTTTGTAGAATTTTTTTCTGATTCTCACAAAAATTTGAGGCATAAACTTTTAGCTACAACTAATCACTCTGATATTTCAATGATTTTTTTTTATTCTTGCTGAATCCAAAGTCTATGCTAATTTTTAAAATTAATGTTATTACGTTCCTATGGTAATTTAGTTTTCAGCCTTTGTCAGGTGACCCAATAATGCCAGGCAGAAAATTTTGATATCCTCTTATGGGTTGACAGTTTATCGCAGCGCGCCGGGTCAAAAATGATCGGGGGCGAATATCGTGGCACCAATTGGTACCCCGCGCAGCGAACGTGCACACATTCGAAGGTACGTGCGCCGATTTGAAATGTACAAGGCGGCGCGGCGGAGCATTAAGAGTACGTGCTCATGCAAGTAAACTTCTGTTTGTTATTGTTATTATCCTTAGGCTGGAGGCGCTGCGCTGAGATTTTTAATCGTTTTAATTTTCCTTATTGTTTCAAGTGTAGTGGCGCTCTTTCGCTTTTTGTATATGACAGAGAGTGCGCCACGGCGAGCACCCAGCACGCTATATTCTATTTTATACTACAACGTACGCCCATGTAAGAGTCCGTGAGCTACTTCAAATAATTAAAACTCGCCTTCGCTGTAACCCAAATTGTAACCCTCAACCCCGCGTGTCGTTACATCTGGCCCAATTAATCTTTCGCTGATATAATCTAACTCCCCGATAATTATCTGTTGCAGGCCGCGGCCAAATACTGTGATGGTGGCCACTAGTAAGTATTGCTTGGATGTATTTTATTAGTTTCATTAGGCGCACGTTCCAAGGTTGTCTTTAGAAGTGCAATGATTCTTGGCTTCAAATAAAATAAAGCCAAGAAATTTCAACATCGAGACAAGTCCAATTTTTTTTAAGTATCTCGTTTTGCTACAATCAGTTATTTGTCACTCTCATATTAAATTTCTTTCAATTTCCAGTTAAAGAAAAAACAGGAATTAAACCCTTTCACTAAAAATAACTCTTTATATTTATTTCAAATTGAAAAAAAATATTTCTGCTTAGTTTATTAGCAGCAATATAGAAATTCAGGAAATTTCCAAATAATATAATTTGTTGCAGTTGTGCACCGCCTAAGGAGTGCTGCACCGGCGGCTGCTGCTACAACGTTTACACACCCCCTATTTATCGGCCTCCAGTTCCTCCGACCAGCCTCCTCAACGTTATCTTTTGGAACCACTGGCATTTCTGGTGAATATATATTATATTATCATCAATTTTGACAATGATTTACAGATTTACTAAAATCTGATTAAATTTTAAGGGCGGTGGTCACAGCCATCGCTGTCCTGTTCCTGGTTGGATGCTCAATTTGGCGGCGCCGCCGGTCCATTATCCGCTACTGCCAGGGATGCTGCTATTGCTGCCAGCAGTGTGATTCTGAGTCTAACAGAAACGACGACATGAGCTCGGAATCGGGCACAACTTACTACGCACCTCCCAACTACAGTCGGAGTAACTCATTTCACCATTCTCCGCCACCTTACAACGAGGTTAAAATTTTTAAATATTTTCTTTTTCTTTTTGTAAATATTAAAATTTTTAATTTCATCTTCAGGTGACAGCGAAGCCCGATTTGTACCCTTTGGTTATCAGTTTTGGGGGTGATCAAGGGAAGAGTGTGCCTGGTAGCTGCCTAATGGTGCAGTACTTCAGAAACTACCTTGTTCGTCCTGTCGGTAAGAAACTTCAACTGCTTTTCAAATTATAAAAATTATTTTGATATTTAAAGTTAAGAAATTTAAATTATTTCAATTGATGGAATTCTTGGTTAAACTTTCAAAATAAATAATTGAAAAATTCTCAGGTTCACTCTCGGCAGCAAGCACCGTGGACAGCCTAAATTCGGCCTTTATGTGCGCCGACGTGCCACCCCCTTATCCAGGTCAAGCCCCACCAAGCGCAGCACCTTCTCCACCACCCTCATCTTTAATGCTGCCATCATGTTGTGTCACTGACTTTGGAGGATTGTCAGGCTCAGAAGTAACAGTCCAATTAATTGATTAATTCTCACTAAAGAAAGACCATAATACTTTCAGGTCAGCAGTCTTGGACTCGGCACCCCAGTTTCCCCTCCGCAAGCTACGACTCCCACAGGAAACAACAGACTCTTCCTGCCTCTGGATTCTTGCGATGGACCCCAAGAGCTGCACGAAGAAGCGGCCGAATTGCGCGCCCTTTTGGACAAAATTCAGGCCTTGCCGACCGCAACCCCCGTTTCACCAGTCGAGTACGGGGACAACGAGCAGGAAGTTGCATCGCAGAAAAGTCGCACACCTTGGCCCAGCCATTCTAAAGTATGTTTTTTTTTTAATTGATTTATATCATCTAAAAAAGCTTTTACCTGACATTATTGTTGAGTTTCTTTTTTTAATTAAGTTTGGATTGTCAATTCTCTCATGTGACTTTGCGTCTCTTATTAATTAGAGTGGCTACACGCCCCTAAGCCAAGGAAACCCTCCACTTCTGCAACCAAAGCGATCGCGCAGGGCGAGCTGGCTGTCCCTGACCTCACCGCGAAACGCTTTGCCGCCCAGCAGCCTTGGTTTTGGCAGCGTCTCTTCCCGATCGGCACCCACAACTCCAAGCACCCATTTGGCGCCACCCCTCCTAACAGTGCACACCGGCCGCGAGGGCAGCAGTCCTTTGCTGGAGGACAGTTCCGAGGACGAAGACGCCGAAATGAACGCTGAGGATTTTGCGCCAAGGTAGTTCTGGCACCGACCGACCTAAAGCTCTTGCCACTCAAAGTGAGATCAGTGATTGAAATTTTCTCGACAAAGTCCCCCCAAAGACTATACCTGCAGCATTTTTAGCAGGAGAGAGATGCGCTGAGTTTTGTGTGGGCGGATTTGAGAAGATTTTCTTGTATTATAAAACCTTTTTTAACATAATAATGTCGCTCACTGTTGTGGAATTAAGTCAGGTAGTCTCACAAGACGAGAAGAGGCCGCAGTTTGTATTTAAGATTTGCAAATTTTCAAGGCAGATTTTGCCAAATCTTAAACATTCATTTTTAAGAGTGAGTTGGATTTGAGCGCTTAGAAAGGCTTAGCGTTTAGTTGTTACTAAGATAATGTAAGGTACCTCAAATCTGTAAGCGCAGTTCATAATTTCACACTTACGTCGATTCTTTGAGATTATTATGATACAAAAGCATATGTTTGAAGTAACTTTTTAGACCTCAAGTCATCGAAAAGCAAGTACGAAACTGTAGAAATCACAAAGATGAAATGATATAAATTTGTGGTGTTGTATGCATGTCCTATTGTTACTTGTTAGAAAAGAAAATTTAAAGGCGTGCAATAAAATTTCAACTTCTAAACTGGCCTGTTGATTTAAATCAAACCCTCTTATGACAATAATTTTTGCAACGACGCGAATCGCATTTGGTTTATTTCGGAAAACGATCATTTTACCTTAGTGGTGCAACAGCATCAAGACTCATGCAGCGGCAGGTGCACGCAGTGACTGGACACTCTTGGTGTTCTCGAAACCATTGGCTCATGTGGTTCACATGACCTCCGTGCCGACAAGTTTGACACCAAGTGAACCAGGAGGAAAATTCGGATAATTTTTCATCTTGGGGCATTCGGCCCAACGACCTTGCTCCAGAAGGTGTACCCATGTGGACCAAGCATATGGCGCATCGAGGCAGAGGCTTCCGACAATTTGGACATGATGATATCTAAATGGAAAAATATTAATACAGAGCACTATTCTAATATACAATGGAATATTTACCTTAAATTTATTATTACTAGATGACGAACCCAATCTTGCCATTCGGTTTCGAAGCACATTGTTGACAAAGGCTGAAATGCTTTTTCCACAAAAATTGCATGAGACGTAGACTTGCTGCTTTGGTTGCTTCACGTTGGTCTGGCATTGACTCAGCTCAACATCAAAAAGTGCTCTCTGGGTCCACAATTTCCAACTGTTCAGTAAACTCCGATATCTGGAAATATGTTGAATAATTAAATATTAAATGTTTGGTCCAGAGTTAATTTCTTACGCTTCTAGCCAGTCTTGAACACGCTCATTTTGCATGAGACTTGCAGAGAATGTTCTCATAACAAGCATGCAGACACTCTGAATGTCTCCTGTAATGTCTAAGTAACGCTGCAACAAGTCTAATCCGTCAATGCTTGTACCTATGTGATAAAATTTTAATTTGTATCGAAATATATTTTCAGGATCAAGACGTTATATTTACCAGTCAATATAAGTCCGGCTAAATCTCCATCTGCCGTTAGTTGAGTAGTGAGCTTAGAAATGTATTCCGAAAGTTTCAGATCGGACAAAAATGTTAGGGCAAACGCAACCCTGTCTTCTACTGCCATTCCAGACTCATACTAAAATCAAAAGTATTTAATTTTACACACAAATTAAAGTAAAATTCAATTTACCAAGACTGAATCAAAGTTTTCTTTGTCTGCAGTCAGGAAAGCAAACATGGCCCTCAAATTAGGATCATTCAAATTTGTTTTTGTAGGCTGGCACAAATCTCTCCAGATACTACTTTTGTCGTCGGAATAACCTGAAGTTGTTTTTGTTAAGATTTTTTTTTATTATTTTCAGTCGCTAAATTTTACCTGAAAGTGCCATGGCTACAATCTGCAAGCTGCCCTGAGCCCCCTTAGAAGCGCTGCGGTTCAAAAGGTCAATTGCAAGACGGATGTGCAAATGAAATATGGCAATTGCGGCTGCTCGCGTGGGAAATCCGTCTTCTTCCAATTGATTGATAAACTGAATGACTTCCTCTCGACTTCCCTGAACAGGCCATCCGCACAACTGAAGTGCCTCTTTTCTCTCCTCGCTTCGATAAGTGCAGGCGCTCGTTGTGTTTATGTCATTCCAAGGAATATAAACCGTGTCAGAGCGAGGGCAGGTTGCATTAGGGGTGCTGCCTTCCAGTTTCAACACTGATCTGTATTGTAATTTTTTTTTTCTAATAATCATAATAGTTTTATTTTTAATTCTCACCGAACACCTGGATGGCTATTTTCTGATGAGCTCTCTTCTGATAAATTGGTCTGATGATTTCCGAGCCAATACCAAAGTCTTTTCAAACCTTCGTCATTAGCCAAATCTCCGTTTTCTTTTAAATCAGCCTATTAAATAATCAGTATTATAAAAAAGTGTGACTAAATTATTCCTTTTACCATCAGGCCATAGTCTGATAGAGCCCTCTGCTTCATCTTATTAGCAATGTCATCGATGTTTTTATACATGGAGTTTGATTCGTCTATCACCTTCAGGGTCCTTCGTCCAACAGTTCTGACTAAGTGCATTGACGGCGAAAAGTTGAGAGTCACTCTTTCTGCCACAGTATAATCGTGAATCCTTCCTGACTGAGACACGGCAATAAGCCGGTTTTCATGCTGTGGATGCCAGCAAAAAGACGCAAGGCCAACTTCCGCTTGTCCCGGAGTGACAAATCTTTCGATCGCAGCTGTTTCTTCTTCATCTCCCACAATTGCATGCTGGACATCGTAAAGACATAGTGATGAACTATCCCTGTTCAAGGTACCCAACAAGTTGTGTCTGGAATGAAAATAAGTAAAATTAAATAAATAAATCTTTGAATATTTTTGCAATGCAAAGGACTAAGCAACTGAATTTTTTTGAAATTTAGCTCTCTTTATTTTCAGTGTTAAGGACTAGGCAACTGATTTTTTTTTTTTATTATAATCTCTCTTTACTTTTATGATGCGATGGATACAATAGAAGCATGCAAATAAATTACCTTGTTGGGCACCATGAGAGTTTTGCAACAGGTTTTGACTGAGTTACGGTTACGATTGGTTTTTCAAAGTTGCGGATGTCCCAAATAGTGATTTGATTTTCAAAACAAGAGGCGATGTGCTTGTCATTGTGGGGGTCGACTGCAATTCCGTAGACAGATTTTGTTGATGTGCTCGGAACGACCTTTGCTCCTTCTGTAAAGTTGCAGCGCGTTTTTAGTCATGATAAAAGTTTTAAGCTTTAATTTAAGTTACCTCGTATGTCTATGATCTTTATATTCTTGTTATTCATCCCGACAGCAATGACATTTTGTTGAACCCAAGCAAGAGAATGGATAACTTCTGACAACCCAAACTCTGCCACAGGTTTCTGTGGCGATTTAACGGCATCCCATAAAAGAACCGAGTGGTCACCACGGTGTTTGTCCAGGCCTGACACCAACAATGATCTTTCAACTGGATTCCAAGCCACTGCATTGCACTGCCTTGCGTGTTTCGGACCTTGAATTATAAAAAATTTATAATTAATGAATGCACACAATTCTATCACAGATTTTTATGTACTTAATTCTTTTCCAGATAATCCCTTTGCATCAAATTCAACAGGTCCGAAGGCAGTCAAAGCGACTTTGCCGTTTGCCAATCCGGCAGCCATGAGAATCTCTCTGGCTGTGTGTGGGTGTATTGCCACACATTTGATATACTGGAGGTTGGTGATGGTCGAGACAAGGTTTGCACTGGCAAAAGCTGATATCCTGAAAGCTAATCAATCATCTTAAGTTACTCTGTATCAGTTGTGTGATGCTATTTGTTTTCAGTTCAATCAAGTAATCGATATAAATTTAAATAAAACAGCCAAAAATTTATATATTTCGACTTGTGATATGTTTAAATAAATCTTTTGAGGTGAAAATGTAATAGTTATTTTAAGAGGGAAAGAAATTATAGGCATGATGTATTTTTAATGAATACGATTAAATTAAAAACTCAGTGTTTTATATTTTTAAGGTCTGTGGCTATAATTGTAATGGGTTAAGTAAGAAAACCGCAGAGGAGTAACATTACAGACACAAGTACATACAAATGCATGGGAAAATTATGAACTTGATTTGTTTGAAAAGTTTAATCACGGTCGTACATGAAATCCTTGAGAGAATTGCATATGATATAAGGTTGCTATTTTGTAATTTGTCACCGCATAATTATCTTACATGACGGCTTCGGCATTTCTCTTTGCATAGAAACCTCGTACAAGTAAATATCTGTGCCCCAAGTGACGAATTTGTCCGGGTGTGACGGTGCCCAAAGAATATCCATTCTTGAACTATTCATGTTGGGAAAGTTATGTAGCTTTCCTATGCAAAATGCTTGACGTGCATTCAAGCACTGTTTCCTTTAAGTTCGCGATCGCTTGTTTTTCGGGCACAATCAAAAATTAAATAGAGAATTAGGATACATAAATATTTCTGTTTTGTTTTGGTGGCCCTTTAATTTTGAACCACTCCCCCGTCTGCCTCTCTTGCCTCGCATCAAAACCGACCAATCATCGGCGCGCTCCAGTGATTTCTCCGGATTTCTCCTCCACCATTCCACCCCCTCCCTCCCTCTTCGTCGCCCCTTTGCCGGCTCGGTGATAAGACAAGTGAATGCACGGCTACGGCTGCACGAATTTTTTTCGCACACTTTTCTAAGGTCAACCAAACAAGCGCCGTTCTTGCCGAACCAGTTGTCTTCCGCTTCAGAAGCCCGACCTGGAAAACAAATTGTCAAGCATTCTATTCAGAAGTAGCAAATAAAGCTTGAAGATGAAGAGGAGCAGCTCAGAAAGGCAAGTTTTATTTTGATTATCTTCTCGACGCATTCACAAAACATAATGTTGTTCTCGCGTCCTTGAGGTCGATTTAATGATTCCTTTATGGCTGCGCGTTGTTTGTAACCTGAATGTTTTATGTAAGTAAATGATGCAAATTTCAGGGCCGGTGAGAATCCATGGACTGAGATCCAGCAGGAACCGGCGAAGAAGGCCAAATCAGAAGACGTCCCTCTGATTATTATTGAAGATGCTGGAATTGTCGAACTTCCTTTGCCGCCAAATCCCACTGGTGAAAATGGACACCAAAATGGAAATGGGAATCTTGAGCACCAAAATGGAAATTCTGCAACTGGAGACGCTGTCGACGGTATCGGACACCTACCCAAGGAAAATGGGGAAAATGGCCACTCTTCAGGTGACAGCCCAGGGTTGACTTTAAAAGATGCTGAAAATGGAATGGATCCCATCTTTGAAGATGATGCAAATGGGCCTTCAACCATTGAAATCGCTGGAGGCTCTCAAAACCAGACGGAGGAAGCTGGAAAGGCTGAGACACTCGAGACTGAAGATGAAGAAAATATGGAACTTAAACTTGATGAAGATCAACCCACTGAATCACAAGATGAGCAGGTTCCGGAGCCAGCTGGCGTATGTATTCTCTGCATGAAATTAAAAGTTTTAATTAATTGAATCAATTTCACAGGAACCTGCTGTGAACCTTCCATGGGGCCCAGGAGCAATCAGTTTGAGGGAGATGATTGGCCACACTCTTAAAGTGAACGCAGTTGACATAAAAGACAACATCCTTGTATCTGGCAGGTAATACTCGAGACACATAGTTTGTTGTGCTTATATTATAATTTAATTTTTATCCTCTTCCCAGTGATGACACAACTGTGAGGGCCTGGGATTTGGTAAACAAGAAGGAAATCTGTTCGCTTAACTGCAAGAAAGCTGTAAGTGCTGTTCTCGTTTTGGACAGAGAAACCTCACGAGAAATTGTGGACAGCGGAAACGTTGTTATTAGTGGTGCAAAGGACGGTTCTGCCAAAATATGGGAGATCCCATCTGGTAGGCCATAAAAATAACAAAAAATTTCTTGTCCGCTATAATTTTGTTCCTCTAGGCAATTTGATGAAGTCCTTTGACTTATCGTCTGGCATCACTTGCATTGCCTACATTCCATCAGATGCTCTTCTAATTTTTGGAACTGAAAAGGGCCAACTGGAACTTGTTGACACCAAAAGTGGCAAAACTCTCAGCTCTGTTCTTGCCTTTGCTTGCCCAGTTATTTCATTGAAGGTATGATGTCTTGTCTGTTTTACAAACTAAAAGAAATCAATTATGCAATTTAAAAATTTTTGAAATTCAAGGCTGCTGCAGGAAAGATCTTTTGTGGAGACCTTCACGGCTGTTTGCAAACTTGGTCCGCTAAGGACAAGAAGCTGAATCTCTACCGTACGTCAAATGCAATTGAAAATACACGACGCAATTTGTCATCGCTCGCTTTGTGTGACACAAACAACATAATTGTTGGGATGCAATCAGGAAGTGTGAAGAAAATGAACTGGATAAATGGTACACATTAAAAAATATAATATATTTGGATTTAACAAAATATTTTTGCAACAGGATCTGTTAGCAAGCTCCGAGCTGGAGCTGGAGACAGTGTCGATGCTCTTGGAGTTACTGATGACCTCATAATTGTAACCACCTCTAATGAAGAGAAATCATATCTACATTGTAAGGCATTTAATAATTTAAAGGTTTAAAAAAACTGAATTTTAGTTATAAAAATGATCTTATTTGTTAACTTATTATTCATTTCATAACCAAAAATTTATAAAAAAATTTGATTTCAGTTTACAATCTTGCGTCTGGCTCCTATTTGGGAAGTGCCCGAGGTAAAAATAAGATGACCGCCCTTGCTGCAGCAATGTTTCAGGACTACTTAGTTGTTGCTTGTGGAGGTGAAGATTTGGATCTTTGGGTTTGCGGTGGTCCAGATTTGTCAGAAATTGGGTAGGAACTTTAAAATATTTTCCATTACACGCTCTTAATAAATTTTCTGATAAGATTTGAGATGGTTGCGACTTGTCAGTTGCCTCAGCCAGAAATCTTGGAGGAAACTGACAGTGAAGATGACGGTGAGGAGGATGATGCAAAAACAGATTCGTCAAGCGTGTTCGGCCGTTGCAGCATTATGTAAAAGGACTAAAAGGTATTTGGCCAGAAATGTATAAAATACAATATCAAAGTATTCAGTTCAAACAATTGCCAGCCTTGTTAAAAAAGGAGGTTGTTTTTTTTTAACTGCTGCAGTTGAAGATTTCTCATTTTAAATCAAAGACGTTAAATTTTACCTTAAGTTTATGCACCCATTTTGTCCAAACGTGTTTTAAGTATTGTATAAATTTAAGCCAAATTTCTCAAAAATTGCCCTAGAGCTCCAATTTGTTTAGGAAATATAATATTGATATTGAACTGTTAGGCTTAAGATGTTCCATTTGGAACTTGATTTTTATCCCTGCTTTATTTCCACAGAACACAAAACCAATTTTAAGTAAAGACATGGTAACTTGTTTGATATTTTAAAGTGGCCAACTTCACAAAGGTACTCATTTTCACTTTGCGCAATAAATACTCATTATATACGAATAGAATGATTTTTATTTTTAACCTTAATTTATTATGTTTTACATCACACATTCAAGACTTCTGCCAAAACTTGCTGCCACTTCCTCTAAGGCGGCTGCCTTTGACTGTCTTCTTTGTCTTGTCAACCTGAACTGAAGATCCACTTTGGGTGTCAGTGGCCATTGCCTCGTCCACGTCTTGTGTCTGGCTTTTCAAAGTCTTCTTGATGTTGGCAACCTGCAATGTCAAAATGTTAACTCAAAAGTTACGGGGACAAAAAAAATTGCATACCTCTTGCTCTATAACCTCTTTGTGTTTGAGACTTTTGGATTTATCGGTGTTGGCTCTGTTGATTTGGGTCTCGATGCAACTCAAAACAGTCTCGCAAGAGTCGCACCACTGCTGAAGGGTGTCCACGATTGTTCCAATATCCTCAAATCTGATGTCTCTGCCAATGGCAAAATCAACTTCCAGCTGGCTATCCTTTTGATCTAATTTGCCGTGGATAATGTCTGCGTAGATTGCCTCTATGATCAGATCTTCAAGATCTCGCACATTTTTAATGTCCAACTCAAGAAGGAGGTCCGTATATGGTATGCACTGCATCAAAAATTAAAATATGTAAATATATAGCAACAACAGGAAATAAGTAAAAAAAAACCTTTTTCTCTGTGGCCATTGTGACAAGGGTGAGGTGTTTAAGCTTCTTCTGCTGAACAGGGGTCAGCTCGGGCAGGTCAGCTTTCTGAGCCAAGTATTCTCTGTATGTTCCATAAGCAAAGAGCTTCAGCAGGTTAAGATATTTGGAGTGCTCCGTGTTTTCCAGCTAAAGTATCAATTAACAATTGTTTAAACATAATATAAACTTTAGAATTTTTAACTACAAAAAAAGAAAACAATTTAATAATTGTATTTAATATACTAATAATATAATATAATTTCAAAAGTTGAATTGGTGATATGAAGTTAATTATAATGATTTTATATTCATCTTATGTTATGTATCAATGCTAGTATTTTGTGTGCTGCAACACAAGGCAAGTGCACAAAGCAACTTTGTATGTATGTATTTTAATTTCCATTTCCACACCTTGTGAATTATTTAAAAATTTATTTAAATTTAATTTTTTACTATTACTTTTAAATATTTAAATTTTTTATTTCCAGAATTGAAAATTATTTGGCAAAAATCGTGAAATTTTTCAAACTCTTCACCTCTGTGATGTGGGGCATTTCCAGAAGTTCGCCAAAAACGTAAACTCCTTGAGCCTCCAAAGCTTGTTTGATTAATTCGCAAGCCCCAGCTCCTTTCGCACTCTTAGCCAAAAGTACAAACTGCTCCACAGGAGAGTTGCTTGACCCAAGCGAGACCTTCTCCGTCAACATCTTTGGTCCTTGAATTTTGTGGATTATATTATTACTACAAGTCAAAATTATTCAAATTTTTTGAAAATAATTATTAAATTATAATATTTTATATAATTTACAGTTTAAAAACTCACAGAACCCTCTTTCGTTAACGATTTTTAGTTGAAATTTCGTGATAGCTACTTTTTTCTCTTCAGTCTTTCGTTTGTTGTTGTTGAATTTTTCTAAAATTCCAGTAGGTGGCAGTCATGTATAGACTATAGTGTAGCTCGGCAGTTCATTGGATAGCTGGGCATAGCTGCAGCATTTTTAAACTAACGCGGGAAAATGCAGAGAAAAATGGCAGCTGCTCGAAGATTTGACTGGGTCCGGCGGTATAGTGTTTGTTTTTTTATTGTTTTAGGCATATTTGTGCTCCAAATATTTTTGGGGTCGTGGCTGTCACCGTCGGAGCACTCGGACCCATCAACCTACAAAGATGGTCATAGCTCAATGGGTAAAAGTCCCATCTACATGGAGGTAAACATTCACCATAACCATCGCCCATGCTCTATTTATATTATGGAATGCGCTTTGTCACATTGCAGGAAAACGAAATATCCTCAAAGAAATTTAAAGAGAGCGTCGTGGACGATGAGGACGTCGCCGCCAACAGCAATCAAGTGAATAGAGGAGGAGACAAAGAAAAGGTAAACAATTGTTTTAAAACAAGAATAACATTTTTACCCGTCTGATGACTATACGATTCTTTTTAAATTTTAGGTTCCTCCTGATAAAATTCAAATGTCAAATGCTGCAAGAGTAAATAGATCTTTGGACCTTCACCTGGAAGGCATCGATTTTGTGCTAGAGTGTGATGTTATGGGCAAGGAAGCAGTTTCCGCAATAAATAGAGCTCGAACCCAAAAGTGCAAAAAGGAGCTTGTTCATGTCGCTTGTTTAGCGCAAGAGGGCAAGTTATACCCTAAGTACTTGAAAAACCAATGTCCTGCTCAAGACGTACGAATGGGAAAATCTTTGGGGTGCTATCAGGATGAGAAACAGTTCAGGCTACTCTCGGGATACTTTTCAAATCTGAAAAGTACTAATTCACCTGAGCAATGCATATATCTGTGCCTTCAATCTGGTTTCCAATATGCAGGAGTGCAATATTCGTGAGTGAATCAATCTTTCACCTTAAAATCCCCTGAGTGATGTAAGAAATTTCAGAACTGAGTGCTATTGTGGTAACGAAAAGCCTCCGTCGTCATCAAGGCTACCCGATTCCTCTTGCAACATGCCTTGTCCGGCTGACCCTAAAGAGGACTGTGGAGGCTTTTTTACAATGGGCATTTTCCAAACTGGATTGCCAAGTAATAAACTTCTATGTTTTTTTTAAAATTAATCTTGCTATAATTAAATGATTTAGATCTTGAGCTCGAACCAATCAAGATGGAACCTGCGGATCCGAAAGCTCAAAAAGCACGAGTCGTATATCTGCTGACTTTGAATGGAAGGGCAGTGCGCCAAGTAAAGAGACTGATAAAAGCTTTGTACCACAAAGATCACTTCTTTTACATTCATGTAGATGCTGTAAGCTTAAAAATAACATTAAATTTACAATATCTTATCTTATTAATCGTTAAAAATATTTTCCAGAGACAAGATCACATGTTTCGAGAGTTACTGGAGTTAGAATCTAAGCTTCCAAACCAGATTGTAATTGCAAGGAAAAGACTTGCCACTATCTGGGGCGGAGCAAGCTTACTAAAAATTCTCCTTACAAGTATGAAGGAGCTGCTGGAATTGCATATGAAGTGGCCATGGGACTACGTCATTAATCTTAGTGAATCAGACTTCCCCTTAAAGTAACATTTGAACATTCATTCTTATTGCTTAATTTAAAGTTTCATCTTAACAGACACAATGACAGACTAGTCAAATTTCTTACTGCAAACAAGGGAAGAAACTTTGTAAAGTCATTTGGGAAAGAGGTGCAGCGCTTCATTCAAAAGCAAGGCCTCGACAAGACATTCCACGAGTGCGAAGCGCACATGTGGAGAGTTGGTGATAGAGTCTTGCCGTGGGGCATTCAGATGGATGGCGGCAGTGATTGGATTGCCCTCTCGTACCCATTTACAAAATATGTCGCCTCTGGAAGCGATGATGAACTTCTGACAGGCCTCAAGACTATTTTTCAGCAAACGCTACTTCCAGCCGAGGTAATTAATTTTATAGAAATAATAATTTATCTAAGCAAGTGTTGTTTGATTTCCTACAGTCATTTTTCCACACTGCTATAAGAAACTCTGAATTTTGTGATACCTATGTGGACAACAACTTGCACATCACAAATTGGAGAAGGAAACTTGGCTGTCGATGCCAGTACAGACATGTTGTTGATTGGTGTGGTTGCAGCCCAAACGACTTCAAACCCTCAGACTGGGCTAGAATACAAGTGAGAGAAATATCTAAAAAAAATCTGCCAAACTAATATTTTATGACCTAATTACTAGGCCACTGATGACCGTCAGGTATTTTTTGCACGAAAGTTTGAGCCTATCATCAATCAGGCTATCATCAGACAACTAGAAGAGTGGATATTTGGCCCAATTTCAAACGGTAGTTTTTATTTCATTTATAGCAACTTTTTTAATTATCTCTAATGTTTCAGACTTACCTAGTGTTAATAGCTATTGGCAAAGTGTTTACCATAGCAAAGATGTAAGTCCAGCTAGTGATGATGCTGTCATTACCGCTGGTCACAGCTTTTCAAGAATTTCTGCTCACTCTATATGCCAAGTGAAAGTTTTAAAGTTGCTAGAAATCACCTCTTTCATGCACGAGGATGTTTTCATGGTTAAATCTCATAATCTTTATTCTATATTTGGTACTTATTTATATATTCCTAATTTTAGGGATTTTTGGTAAAGTATAAAGCATTAAAAGAAGATCCAAGCAGCAGCAGCGAATTTACCATCGAGACCCGTTATAAGCCAAAGACGTTAAGCAAACTCAATAGCAGAGACTCTTCTTTTGCGTCTCGAATAGAAGTAGCTCACAATTATTTAATGCACACACACAAATCTTATTGCTTCTTATTTTAGAGTTTTGTAGTCAGCTCGGACTTTGATGCTAAAGAAATGGTGACTCGCAATCCATTAAGAACACTCGGGCCCTTTTCTCAGCCGACCGCCATACTTCATCTATCTGCTGGGCCAGCACTAGAGGGAGGAATGAATGCCACTGTAGTCTGGATTGACCCCATTGGCTGGGTTGCAGATGTTACTGAAATCCATATCTTGGAGACAACTCAAGTAAACACACAAATATAGTGAAAATTTATGGTTCAAATGTTGAACTTTTCAGATATTAAGCTCTAAGTTGACTATTAAAGCACCTCTGAGACCAGGTGTTTGGTTAGCCAAAATTGCCACCAATGGCAAGATTGCTGCTGAGACTCAATTTTTGGTGACCCCGCTTGAATTCATGTCTGGAATCGAGATATCTACTTATCAAGCCGAGTACGCCTATCTTTATTTAAACACAAATATTTTAAATTTTATTATAATTTATAGGTATGTCAACGCTGGACCTAGTGAGCCATACGTTGTGCAAAAGTTAAGCATACTAAGCCAAATAATTCAACCACCCAACAGCTCAGTTTCTCAATCACTACTTAGAAAAGCTGCCATAAACTCAAAAAGGCTGGGAGTTGATCTGCAAGACTGGATTGACAGTTTAGTGGAAAGGTGAAATAATTTGGTTTTTTTAATTTCTGTTATTTATTTCCCTTCTGTGCAGATTCTACTCCCTGCAATCGTCTTGCATAGTTGAGTCAGTTTCTTTAGGAAAAGGATGTCCATCTTTGAAGCAGTGCCATACCAAGTCATGGAGTTCTTTATATCCAGACCCAAAGTCCACAGTTACCGGTGTTAACTCCACAACTGGCAAGCTTATTTAAAAGCTTTTTCTGGAAACTTAAATGCATCAAAAGATGGGTTTCGTGCTTTAAAAACTGACTGTGATACTAATGTTGAGCTTCATATTTTTTGTTTTGTGTCTTCATGATTATCTTTGCATTTTACTATTTAAATTATCCTATAATGTATAAAAAAATGAGAGATCTGTCAGATCTGTATGTTTCATGCGTCTATTAATTTGCTTGTCAAATGTGTTCAACGAATACAGGATTGTTTTTAATGGAGCGAAATCAAGAAAATCAAATAGGTCCTGTAAATTATGACCTTCATGCCATAACACTTTATACCTGCTATTGTATAGCAATAATGAAAAACTATATCAAAACAATAATGATGCCATGTGATTTTTTAACAATAAATTATTATTGGACAATTTCGGCTGCATAACATACAGAGTTGATTGCACTGTCTAATCCACATTAATTTACATATTTTGTAGTATGTTAAACATACTTGCAAACACTATAGCTAAATGCCATAAATTAAAGTACTTCCAAATCACAGTGCCTTACTTCTGGATGCTTTTTCCGAAGCTTTGTCTCGATTCGATCTATTTCGGCACCAAGCATGTCGACAATGTTCTCACCATGCTTGAGGACAAACGCCTCCACCTCCTCGATTGTGGTCATCTTCTGCATCTCTTCAAGCATCAAATTCAGGTCCTGCTTGTCCAGGTAGGAACGTGCTAATTCGCCTCCGTCGAAATCAATCTCGGCTTTGTACCGAACAAGGCTGGTGCCCATGTCAATGCCCTTCACGTCGTGAATGGCACGGACCATAACATCCGACTCGAGCTCGGCATTGATTTTGTCGATTCGCTCCTGAGGAATGGACCGTCCGACGAGGGCTGCTGTGTTAGTGTAGATGATGAAGGAAGCTACAGTCCCAAGCAGTCCGCCAACCAGCAGCGAACCCACAGCGTCTGGAATATGACTTCCATAGTGCACGGTGAGACCCATGCAAGTACCGGCAATGGTCACACCAAGCACAGCGGCCAAGTCCTCCAGCAGAACAACATTGACGCTTGGGTCTTGACCTCGCAAGACATATTCTGTAAAAGACATTCCGGTCTCGCGAGCACCTTTACGAATCGAGTTGACCGCAACCAGCAGAGTTGCCCCCTCAGACACCAAGGAGCCGCCGAGGATGAAGAAGGCCCAAAAAAAGGGCTCCATGGGCTGTGGGTGCATCAGTCCTGTTATTCCGTGGTACAAAGAGAGACCAGTTCCCACGCAGAAAATTCCCACTCCAGAAATGAGAGACGAAACATAGCGCATGTTACTGTAGCCATAGGGGTGGTCCATGTCTGCACGCTGGACCGATTTGTGGATGCCGAAACATAAGATGAGCTGGTTGGCTGTGTCTGCAAAGGAGTGAATGCACTCGGAAAACATGCTGTGAGAACCCGTGTAGAGCCAGGCAAACAACTTGAAGAGGAAGTTGCTGGCGTTGATGATGACCGCCGTCAGGACAACTTTACCGGTGTTGCTCATGAGGCCAGCGTCCTTTGGCAACAACTCGGGCTTTGTTCTCTGCTCCCGTCGGTAATCTCGAAGAACGCGTTTGACGGTGAAGATGTTTTGCTGGTAGCGTTTGCGCTCTGCATCTCTCTTGTCCAGTTCCTTCAGCAAGTTGTCTTTGCTGCCCCACACATTCATCGCTTTAGCCTCGATGTCTTTCCGCCAGTACACGGTGATAGGTGGCTCATTTTCAAAAGGGGACCTCCGCTTTGTCATTCGTAAATTTTCCAAATCACTGGGCTTCAGTAAAAAGTCGTTCATGGCGCGAATTGGTGTGATGAAGTTGCGCTCCAGGGAAGTGGCCGTTGGGTCGACTCTTTGTCTCCTCTTGGGCAAGACTTTTGTCACGGCTTCTTTAATTTTACTTGCAGCTGTTGGAGAATCTAACTCAGGAGTTGGTTTACTTTCAGATGTTTTGTCTGTTGAGCTGCTGCAAATTATTTTCAGCCACTGAGATGAGTTTGGTAAAAAGGATTTAGGAGAACGGAGAGACAAAGAAATAAAGCTTTGCTTTGGCTGATGCAAGATTATTTTGATGGGAACCTTCCAGCCCTGAAGGGCAATTGCACAAGGCCTGGATAGCATTATTATTTTGTCTGAGTTTCTTCCTTTGTCTTAAAATTCCATTTTTGACGATGCAATCTTCGTTCAGCCAGCAGTCGATCGGTCCTGCAGAGAATGAGAGAATCAAATTTTAGTTATACAATATAACCAAAATCCATTAATTTAAATGTTGAAAATGATAATTATAGATTGTCAACAAACCTTAATAAATTTTTGATCTCATTGTCAAACAATTTGAAAATAGAGCAGCAAGCGGGGTCAATAACATTTTGACAATGTTGACATCAAGCAAACTAATATCAACCGCCTCAATTCACCTTAAACGAGAGTACGTAAATTTTATCTATTAGAGCTAAAATGTAGAGAATTTTCATCTAACAATGAAAACACTAACCTAGAGAATATAAATACCCGAGATTCAAATCTTTGAAAAGGTTTTCTCAACTCCAGGCAACTTTTCCATCTAGAAGAAAAAATATACTCCGCCCCTGCGCCTGTAGATTCTTCTTGTTGTTCATTCTCATTGGTTGGTTTTCTTCGCATCATTCCCAACAAACAGTGCTACCACCAAACGAGAAACAATATTTTGCAATGTTCCACTCATAAAAATAATGGAGCCTTCTTTTTAACCCTTAAATCAGCGTAAATTAAATTTAAACGCAATTTTTTCATTGAAATTAATATTTTTACTTTAAATTCAAGACAAAAAAATGAACTACGACCCGATGCTCGCAAAAATGCTGTTGCAAAATTATGTTGCCAGCGTTGTAACGACGTCACACGTCAGGTTCATCCCAGCTGGCCATTGTTATTTGTGTGCATTAAGCAGTCAAATTAGTTAACTAAATTGAACGCCAGCAAACACAATCGACCCTTATTTCCAAAATGAGTGAGCTCAGCGCAGAGGAGGTAAAATATTCTTGAAGAATTGCTAAAGTTTTGATTCAAATTTGTTCTTGGATCGATGAAATTCTTTACCGTGCAATTGTGATGTCGATGGCCATGTTTGTCAATGGGAAAATCTCATGCAGTCATGCTCACGCACGTTTGTCTGAAAGTCAGGCGTAGAAAAAGATGTATTCATAAAATTCTAGTAATAGTACTTAAATATTACCTATTTCTTTCAACTAAAATCTAAACTTGCTATCTATAAATTGCTTCAGCATGTCAAACATGTGGTGTGAATTTCAAAATTTGAATTAAATATTCGCACAAGCACATTCACGCAACCTCAAATCGTGATGCTTGTTGTGAAAGAAGTCTCCGATTTAGTTTCGAACTGCGACGTATTTAGGTTATTGGACTTATTACACCATCAAATACACGTTATATTTTTAAATAGCAAACGTAACAAAAAAATTCAAGACACAATTTCTCTCCTCATCCTCAGCTCTCTTTATTATTGATATATTTTTCCCCAGTATATTTTTTATGTAAGAAAATTTAATGCTTCGTTTTTCAATTTTTTGGCAGATGCGTCGACGAAGGCTGCAGCGCCTAGCTCCTCTGAACACTGCTGGTGAGAACCAAGGTGTGGAGAGAACGCCTTCGCCCAGCGCCTTGAGCCCATCCATTGCTGAATTCTCAGCTCCAAAGCCTGTTGTCAAGCCAGATGTAGAGAAGATGGACGTTGATGAAATAACGATTCCGTCCAGAGGAATAAGCATTGATTCAGAGAAGAGTCAGGGATTGCAAGCAGAGGTTGACTCTGGCTTTGAAAATATGGAAGTCGACGACTCCGAAATAAAATTTTCAAGGAAAAGGGTGTGTTAAAATTGTCAATCGTCATGAGGATGTAAACAAACCCTTAATTTTCAGACTACGAGTTCTTCCTCAGGGAAACAGATCATGGACGATGACAACCTGGTATTGAGTGTCTGCAAGAAGGTCTTCCGATCTGAGAGTGAAAACTATGCCGGCAGCTTGAGCATGGCAGACATGATCAATCAGTGTGTGATCAATGGGATGCTGGAGGCCTCAGTTTCAGACGAGAGCGTTGTTTTCGCTAGTGACTCTGATGAAACGCCTTCTCTGGTTCTCGAAAGTCCTTCAACATCTTCGCCAGTAGAAGAAAGTCCCGAAAAGAAAGTTTCTAACATGTCCACTCGCATGTTGCGATACCTTCTTGAGTGTTATACCAGGGTAGATTATGAAGAGAGGACACAACCAAAGGTTTGTTTTTTGTGAGATGCAGTTTGGAACGCTGAATGAGTATCTTTTTACAGAGATTTAGCTCTCCCTCGACGAGTGGATTATTAGTTGAATTGAGGGCTCAAATTGTGCAGCATGCCACTCTTGTACTCACAGGACAGTTTGAGATTGAGGATGCATCTGCCTCAACCTGTTCGTCCTTGCTACTTGAGAGAATAATTGCCCAAAATTTGCCTCGTGGCTTTCTTCAGGATCTGGTTTTTCAACTAAATTCTTCCGACAGCAAGATGTTGGACGAGGTGGAAATTAAATTACTGATAAAACTAAATAAAATAAAACAACGTTTCACTTTTTCCAGACGTTGAGTCCGGTTTTGCAAGGTTTGTACAGAATGATGCAAAACGCGTCTCTGGTTGGAAAGAATTACTTGCAGCCAGTGGCAGCTCTATTAGAACTGGTGGAAATGCGGAACATAGACGGTGCCCGACCAATTTGTGGACTTCTGAGTCAACAAGTATGTAGTCTCAATGGTTGACTTTATTTTGTTACAATTTTTGTAAATTTTAGGTCCAGTTTTCTCCTGAATGCATCACTCCTGCTGTCGGCCGAGAAATTTCGCGCACTTCCTACCTGGGACCTTTTCTATCTATATCAGTATTCGAGGAGGACGATCCAAAAACTGCAGACAAATATTTTTCCAGCAGTCGCTCTGCAGATAAAAGTTTGATCAAATCACTTCAACAAGAAGTTGAGAATTTGAGAGTAAATATTAATTACCTTTTTTTTAAAATAATTATTGCTTAATAATTTAAAATTTTCTTTAGTCTCAAGTCCACAAAATTGTGCATGACCTCCTCTTAAATTCGTCAACCAGAGAGATTACCCTGAACTATTTGGCAAGAGTCCTGAAGCAGAATGAGAAAAAGGCGCAAATTCACGGAGAAGAACGTCTCACAGCAGGTGACGGATTCATGCTCAACCTCCTTGCTGTGATGCAGCTGTTGTCCATCAAGATAAAAATTGACAAGGTTGACGAAATGTATCCATTCCACCCAAACAGCCTTGTTGATGTGACAAATGAAACAAGACTGAAGTTTGACTCACAAGAAGCAACTAAGTGGCTGGATGACCTGAGTAAGACTATTGTAAATTCTAGAAATTACATTTTCACATATAATTTAACAGAAAACTCCAAGGACCACAGTTGGCAAGAACCAAATTTCAGCACTAGCTGCTGGTTTTTGACTCTTCATTGCCATCACTTATCACTCTTGCCTGCATTCAACAAGCACAAACACAGACTGAGGGCCTTAAGAGAACTGTCAAAATTGGTAAATATCTAATTTTATAATTCCTACATGTCTGAATTTGGATTTGGTTCAATTTTGAAATTCCATAGGTTGACGAGATAAGTGCAACTGAACCTCAGTGGAAAGGAACTCCATTTGAACACAGACACAGAGAAATGCTAAAGAAATACAGACACCAGATTAAGGTTGATACCCTCGGCTAATTTAATCCCATTTGTAAGTTTTGTTTGTCTACTTCAGAAACTTAGCAAGAGAAAGGCGTGCTCCGAGGCTGGCTTAATGGACGATGTGCTCTTGAGGAGAGCGATGTCTTTCTACATAACAGTTGCTGAATTTCTCATGTCAATCATTTTGCCTCCTGATGCTTCGTGGAAGTGCAAGTCCTCCTTGACCCTACCTACTGAAGCACCAAGCAAATTCTATGCCTTTCCAGAGTGGTATGTCGAGGACATTGCAGACTTTATTCTATTTGGCCTGCAGTAAGTTGAAAATTTTAGAAGCTCCAACAATTTCGTCATGCTACTATTACTTTTTTTCATTTTTTTCTTAAGATTTTGCCCTGGTGTGATTGTCGAAGGCGTCAACGACAGCCTCATCTCGTGGCTCTTGCTAATGATCTGCTGCCCACATCTCGCCCGTAGTCCATATCTAGTTGCCAAACTAATTGAGGTGCTGTTTGTCATATCCTCTGGTTCCCAATCCAACCGTGATCCACTTCATGTCAACCTCATGGAGCACCCGTTATACGAAATATACCTGCCATCCTGCCTCATGAAATTCTACACAGGTGAATAAAAAATAAAAAAAAATTGGCAATTTATTTTTAACTGTTTTATCTAGACGTCGAATCAACTGGAGCCAACTCCGAGTTCTACGACAAATTTACCATCAGGTACCACATCAGTTTGATTCTGAAGGACATGTGGGAAAGCCCAACCCATCGTTTGGCCATCATCAAAGAATCGGGGTACATACTTAATTACACATGTCATTCTGCCATCTTAAGTTTGGATAATTAATTTTTATGTGTAAATATAGCTCTGGAAAGCAGTTTGTAAAATTTGTCAACATGCTGATGAACGATACGACATTCCTCCTGGACGAGAGCTTGGAGTCATTGAAGGTTTTTATTTTGCTTAATTGTGACACAAAATTGTAATCAAATTTTTACTTGTAAAAAAAATAGAGGATCCATGAAGTTCAAGAGGCCATGGGCAACACAGAAACTTGGCAGCAACAGCCTCCAGACCTGCAACAGTCGAGGCAACGGCAGCTAGCCCAGGATGAGCGTCAGTGCCGTTCATACCTCACCTTGGCCAGGGAGACTGTCGATATGTTCCATTATCTCACCATGGAAATCAAGGAGCCTTTCATGAGACCTGAGCTTGTTGACCGTCTTGCTGCCATGCTGAATTTCAACCTGCAGCAGTTGTGTGGACCAAAGTGTATGTAAAATTGTATGAATTTAATTTTTAACTGTGAAACTTTCCATAGGCAAAAACCTGAAGGTCAAAAACCCTGACAAGTATGGATGGGAGCCCAGACGGCTTCTCAGCCAGCTGGTTGACATTTATCTTCACCTGGATTGTCTCGAATTTGCTGCTGCTCTTGCTGGAGACGAGGTATGTATTTGCATTACTAAAATTATACAGTATTTTAATACAATAAATTTTCAGCGTTCCTTTAAGCAAGAGCTCTTTGATGATGCAACAGCCAGACTAGAGAAGGCTTTGATCAAAACAATGCCCGAGATTGAACTGTTCAAAGATCTTGCTCGGCGGGCTAACGAAATCGCTATTCAAAACATCAAAAGAGAGGTAGACTATAGTGATGCTCCTGAAGAATTCAGAGGTATGTTTTTTTGCTCTCAATGTGGCAATTTCTTTGCCTAATTTCTTTTATAATATCTAAAGATCCACTAATGGACACATTGATGGAAGATCCAGTAATACTGCCAAGTGGCAAAGTGATGGACCGTCCCGTGATCATTCGTCACTTGCTCAACTCTTCTACTGACCCTTTCAACAGGCAACCATTATCAGAGGACATGCTGCAGCCTGGTTTGTTGAAATTAATTCTACTAGAAGTTTAATTAATTTGCATTTTTAGCTACCGAGTTACAACAGCGAATTAATGAGTGGATGCAGGAAAAGCAAAGAAACAAGCCTGACAGTACTTGAGCTAACCAAATATCGTAAGCCAGTGGGACCAGGAGTTGATCCAATACCAAGCTGTGCATCAATAGACTGTGAATGGTCCTGAGCCTAGAAATCAAGTGCTTCTGACTGCACAACTATTTTTAACAAAGCCAATATTCTAGGCTTCTATAAGTTTGTTTGCTGATATCAAATTTGTAATATTTTAACACTTGGTTATAATTTCATCAATCCGTTAAATTGCTCCGCAGACAGTCCAGACTTTTCAAACCTGCAGTAAAATTTATGCCCATAACTTTCCTCTCCTCTGGATATTGTGTTGTAAAGATCTCAGTCAAATCTATTGTATGTACATCCTTGGTCGAAGATGGTCAAGTGTGATAATTTGTAAAAAGAACGACATTTGGTTGACTTAATAACTATACGTATATTCAAAGATTTTCAGATTAAAATTGTGTCTTGTCTTCAAACTACAAAAAGCTTACAATTAATTCTTAAATTCCTAAAGGTCATAGAAATTAGAAATTTTTAATAGATGGAGCATGTTCATTTTTGACAGAAGAATAGGTTTATTCAAAATTTAAGCACATTTTAGTGTGTTTTGAGTATTGTCAGCACACATAAATTTCATAGCTGCAAAAATCTGTATCTTCGACTTTTCCAACACATCAAGCACCGGCCTGTAGTTCAAAGACGTCTGAGCATACGATTTAACCGCCCTTTTTGATTGATATATCATACCAACACTACTTAGTAGCCCAGTGAACAGTCAGTTTCCTGCTAAAAAATTAGATTGAGTAATGAAGCTCAGACATCTATTCATATGCATATTAAATCAAGCAACAAGTAAAATGAGAAATTAACAGCCCTGCTTAAGAGCTGTACATTTACTTCATGTGGTGTTACAATATTATAAATTAAAGCAAAGTTCAGATTAAAATAAAATCAATACAAATAGCTTCCTGGTATTATCCGCATTATCAAGTAGCATTATATAATTTGAGCAAATTACAACGAACATAACATAACGCATACTGATCCGACCAATCGTTGCAAAAATCGCAAAAAGTTATAAATAGTTATCTCTACACCTTGGCACTTTCTTCATTCAGAACCAACAAGAACAACCATAATTGACAGCACACACGCGTCAGAGACAATTATTCCATGCCTTATTATTTTAGAAAAAAGTCATTGCGCTTGCAGTCCTATCAAGAACCAACACCAAATGGTTGCTGCTGCCAACCTTTGTGTAATACCTCCTGGACTATAACAGCAATCATATAAATATCTCTCCTGCCAGGCGCAAGGTGTGGTCACTAAAAGTGGCCACTCTGCGCAAAAACAAAACTAAGTACCGGCACTAGTGGATGTACGGCAATCTATTCGAGTCCGACATGTAGATGGCCACCACGTAGAGCAGTCCAAAGAACAGATTAAGTCGGGCAGTCTTGCGCGGCACTCGCTGCATGCTGTCGCTTCGGAACTCCTTCTCCAACTGGAAGGCTGATGGTAGGGTGATGAGTGGTAGCAACAGCCATACCGAATGGTGCATAGCGTTCACCACAAAAATGATGTACGGCCCGAACAAAAAAGCTGCGTACAGCACATGGGAGGCTGTGTGTCCCACCAGGATGGCCAGAGTTACAATTCCAGCCTTGGCATCGCTCTGACGGTCCCGAGCATTGTTGCTGTGCAGGATGGCCTCCGTGTTGAGGGCCAGAGGGATGGCGTAGTACATGGAAGCCCAGGCAACCTTGCCCGTCTGGGCCATGAAGGCGAAAAGCACCGATAGCGGCCCAAATATGACCAAGATGAGGACGTCACCAAGGGCGATGTACTTGAGCCCGATTCCTCCAGTGTACAGGAAAGAACTGGACAGTCCTCCAAAGTAGATGAGCGCTAGGTGCTCCATCTTGGCCGGGGACAGCATGGCTAGCATGATGAAGCCGACGCAGCCCAACATGTAAAGCATGGCGCCTAGAGTGACCACTTCGTCCTTGGACAGCAGCTGGTCGACCAGGGTGCGGTCGTCGCTCTGCTTCTTGCTGTCGATGCCCTTGATGTAGTCAAAGTAGGTGTTGACCACATTTCCAGCTCCGTGCACCGACAGGACAGTGAACGCCGTAACCACCAGCAGGACTGGGTTGAAGTCGCCGGTGCTCTTGTGTGCGATGGCACTTCCTAGCAGGGTGGGCATCAGAGACGCACTCAGGGACCACGGCCGCAGAGCCAGCAGGTACGAAGACAGTTTCATGAGTTTGTTGGGCCGTTCCGGGTGCACATCCGACACATCGTCGCCGTCGCCGGCCATGCTCGGGCTGAAAGAGGAACGGAAGGTGAGTGAAATTCAGTTCAGGGTGCGGGTGCAGCACCTGCAGAGAGCGGAGTCGTTCACAACTGGGTCAGAGTTCGTGGTGCACCGTTCGGGGCAGACGCTCGTTCACGGCTCGCCACTCTCGTCCGGCCTCTCAATCTTCGGGCATCGCACTCCGAGCAGCGTCCCTCACTTATTATTGAAGAGAAATTTGCATTTTCCCGTTGAGAAATTTCTGTTTTCGCCAGCGACCTCACGAGCTGTCACTAAAATGCGCTTGAATTATTTTCGTGGGTCAACTTTTTGATGACGACTCAAGGGGGCGGTAGATTTGAAACGGCGCACGCAAGTGGGCCAGCTGTAGAGCACGTGACCCACAGGCACATTTGTTTACTTTTGAGATCTTTGCAATCTTTGCATTTATCGTTGAATTTGGGCTTCAATTGGTGCTTTTGAAGAAAATTTTAAATCATGGATACGTCTGTTAGCACTCCTAAAACTCCATCGACGCCCAATTCTAAAAAGGTTTTTTCTCCTGTCACAGGTAAAATTTATAAAAATCTCTCGCTAACCCCAAACACTTAGTAATTAATTCTGAATACATAAATCTATTGTTAATAACTAATGATTACAAATTTAATTACTCGATTAAATATTTTAGTGAGTAAAGTATTCTGTTGTGTTGTACGAAATATATTATGCAAAAAAATATAATTTAATTTATTTAATATTTTTTTAAAGAATCAGAAATTTAAATTAACGAACATTATTTTTTTAAATTCCAGTGGCCAGCAGTCCAGTTAGCAAAATTTGTCAAAAAGGAAACTTGACCGGCTTACCCCGAAACGTCCGAGATTTGATTGCAGAATTCTACTCGTTGCTCCAGTCTTGGGAAAGCCACCACCTAGAAGGAACAGTCGTGATCACAAAAATTACATCACTTAATTTATTCGAAGGCTCCAAAAGAGACTACAATTTGGACGGAAAGCTCCAAGCGTTCTGTGATTTGTTAGAACAAGTTTATTTGGAACTGGTTTGTTGAAAGACTTAAAAATTGACTTTAACTAAAATTATTTTCCTAGAACAAAGTTGTCCAGATGATGACCAGAGTGAAGAGAGAGTTAGAAGTTATGTCAAATTTAGCAGATGTCAGACAGAAAAATTATGATTTACCAGAGAGTCCTATGTTTTTGACTTGGCCCTTCTCAAAATTTGGTATTAAATTTTACAAAATGACTTTATTTTTGTTACTGACCTTAAAAATTATTTATTTTCAGTGGAAACTGTGGCCTTTATAACAAATTACTATCAGCAAGAAGTTGACGTAAGAAGAATGGTGGTGGAAAAAGTTGGGCTGAGCCAAGACTTGAGCGAATATTATTTTTATGAAGCTTGTTGGACACAACAGCCGATGTTATTCCAAGATGTTATTACTTTAAAAATAGAGGCAGCTTTGTTAGAGACGGGATTAAGATAAATATCAAAATATTGAAAAAAAACATTCAAACATTGAGTTTTAATATTTTCAATCAAAGTCATGTTTAATTGTGATACAAAATTTGTTTTGAGTTTGATGTGTCATTTTGTCCAAAAAATTTTAAAATAACTATCAATGTTATAAACGACAAAAAAATTTTAATTTTTCCTAAATTATGTTAAAGAGTACTTGGTATTTAAAATCAAATCATTTTGAAAACATGACCGCGCGTGTAAAAAAAGCAAAACACGAAGGAATTAGTTTTTTTGTTCGTCAAATTCAAAATAATCGTTGTAAAAATGATGACAATCTGACAATGCTATTATATATGTCTTGATGAGAAACTATGGAACATGATAATGAAAAAAAACCTGATTATTTTATAACATAATTATAATAATCTGGGGCCCCAGATCACATAAACATAATTATATTACAGTAGTCATTATGATTGTCTCATCCGCGTCTACATTGTACTGCGTGCCATGCAGCTAGCATTCCATCTCCTTGCTTGGCAACTCCGCCACTCATGCAGGCGCAGGCACAAAAAGAAACAAAGATCGTGCCTAGACCGTGCGAGTTGAAGCGATCACGCAGCTTTTTCTCATTTTCTTGCCTCGCTTTTGTGTGTGTTCTGTGTTGACGAATGTCCCTTTCATGAGCACAAGCCAACGAACCAATCAGAAGAGAGGATTCTTCCCGGCTCTTGGTCGCCTGGTCGGCCATCTTTACTTGTGCTTGTGATCAGGCTGCGGCATCAGCGACGAGAGTGTGTCAGAAAAGCAGGCGTAAACGGGCCGAAAGTTCGGCTTGACCGCCGACGGAAAGGCCACTAGGTCACTGAACCACCCACCTCTCAAATTGGTCGAAAAATGAGGCGTTCTCTGTGACGCATTCGCCGTCACGTCTAGCTGAAGTGGAAGCCGGGAGGACACACACGCTTCTGAGAAAGTTCTTGCCATCAAAATGGGGTCCGACATGATGAGTCTCTGTCGGCTCTGTCTCATGGAAAACACCATCATGTTGCCAATCTTCGGCGAGGATGGCAAACACCGCAGAATCAGAGAAATGATCAAAGAATCGCTCAACATCGCGGTAAGTTTTTGCCCGTACATAGAAGGGTTCTTTGTTTCTCAATTTTGACTTTGACCTTGAGCATGAGGCACGCCTTTCAGCTTTTGCCCCGAATAATCAATGTTGCCTCGACAGTTGTTCCAGACAGACCCTCTGCCCAGAAAAATCTGCTGCAAGTGCTACTTCAAGCTGCAACAAGCCAATGAGTTGAAGTCGGACTGCCAAAAGAGCACCAAGGTCCTCATCAACCACATGAATGCACAGCGTTCGGCTGACGCTGCCAAAATGATTAAGACACTCAACTATCAATTGGTTTGAATTTTTTTCACTTCATTTAATTCTTTTAGCTAACTTATGTTTATTTAAAGCAAATATTGCACGGAAATGCGCCTCCTGGTGAACCTCAGAAGGAACCTGAAGCTTTTGGTCCATCCAGAGTCGTCGTTGCCTCTGCCAGTGGCGGCGTTGGGTCCTCAAGCACCAACCACTTCCCACAATCAATCAGGTTTGTTGGGTTTTTTCACAAATTTTTTTATTTGCTTCTCAAATCCTAGTTTAAAATTAATCATGAATATCGATCTATGAGAGTTAAGTTGAAGCTGTGCAAAATTTAATGCATTAAACAGTTTAAAATGTTTTCAAGAGCTTCAATACGTTATTGGGGAAAAAATGTTCTTGACCTCTGCCATAAATGAGTATTGAAAAGCTAAGTGATGCAATACTATTTTGGCGTTTGAATCACGTTTCTATAAAATTAATTTTAAAATCTTCCCAATCTAAATCACTGAATCTATTTATTCATCTGTGAGTGGTTGAGTGTTGCACAAGACGATATCGCTATCAAAATTGGGCGCACTCGCAGAATCTTAATCTGGATTATAATAAGTTAAAAGATTATTATCATCTGAAATATGTTTTTCATGATACTTAAATTGTGTATCAGTAATTAAACGTTGCATTATCCCAAATCTAATTGTTCAAACAACTACAAGAATCAATACTTCACAACCTCTGAAAAGAATCAATTTAAGATTGAATTTTTGCACTATGTAAGCATCAAGAAAATATTTTTGCATTTATTTTCAAAAATTCATAACTGAAAACAAAGAAATGGTTTATAATTATAAATATTTCTCCTCCTTTGAGCCCTAACTCACATTTTCCCCATATTCAAAATTTTACTAACTTGTTCATAATTTTGTTTAGTAGTTAATTAAAAAAAAAAAAACTTAAAAATATATCAATCTTAAAAAAACTTAAATTATTCTTGCTGACATTGTGCTTTGAAATGATTATGCTTGGTATGTTGTAGTGTGATATTCAATATTTTTGCTATTTAAATTTAAAAAAAAATTTAAAAAAAAACTACTGATTTGGTTTTTAAAAATGCGAACGCTGATTTCTATCTTGAGTAAAAGCTTGTTATTGAAAATACTCCCTGCTGTTTTATCTGTTTTACTTAAATATTAGAACATTATTTTGCTAACTAGTTAAAAAAAATCAGGCACTATCTAAATTTGAAATCAATTTGCAGGCCTGCTATTCACACCCCCTCAACCTCAAACCAACAACAAATGAGAAACCTCTATCGAGTTGTGCCTTCGAGTCGCATGAAATTCCGGCTACGCAAGCCATCCGTACCGTGCGGAGTGTGCGGCAAGCTTTTCTTGAGCAAGAAATCAGCGAGCGCACATATGCACAAAAACCACTCTATTGATGAGGTCAACAACATTTGCACAAACTACAAGTGCACGGTTTGCTTCCGTGGGTTTGAAACATTGATTGGATTAAATTTGCACAGGCACCGCAATCATCGCCTACCCCCGTTTAGCAGTGTACACCGAGGAGCCGGCACTCAGGCCCGGTCAGTACAGCAAATGCAGCAGCAACGCCAAGCAGCATCGTCGACAGCACTGCAGCCACAGGTGCAGCTTGCGCCAGTTCATACGCCTCGACTGATTTTGCCTAAAGACCCCGAGCAAAAGTCCGACACTCATGAGTGTCATCTTTGCTTCCGAATCTGCAAAAGTGAAGGAATTTTGAAAATGCACATTGCCACGGTGCATAAGGAAATAAATTCAGCGGGTCAAAGACTCAGCATCGATGCTGGACCCGAGGCAGCTTCGTCCGAAAACCCGGCTTTGGATAACCTCAAGTGCTCCTTGTGCCATCAGCCATTCCGTAATGTCAACGGCCTAGTGGGTCATCTACGAACGGCCCACGGTAAACCAAGCTGTGCTATCTGTCTGGAAATATTCTCCACCCAGGAAGATTTGAACGCCCACAGGCAGACACACAAGCCTGGGTATAGCGAGCAGCAGGCGGAGAAGAAAATCCCACCACCGGACGTTTTCACTTGCCCCATATGTGGCAAGTCCTTTGACAACTCCACCTCACTGTCTAGACACAAGGGCTACCACACCAAAATGGGCCCGAATTGGTCTCCAAGTGTTGGGTCAACCTCAAATTCCACTGTGTCCTCACCTACACCAAAATCGACAACTTATCGTCAGTCTATTATTGAATCAGAAAGTCCAAGGAAGGTCTTTACATGTGACATATGTGGAAAGAAGTTTGACAACAATTTGTCTCTTGCTCGGCATAGGGCTTGCCATGCCAAATATGGTGCCCAAAGGTCGCTGATTCCTCCCCAGAGGCAAATTTCCCCACCCAAACCGGCATCAGATGACTACGAACCGGTGGAAAAGAAGCCTGTCCTCGATGACCAGGGTAAAATTGTGGACAGAGTATCCTTGCAGAAACTGAAAAGCAACTCCACCACAATACCATTCTGCCTGTACTGCAAAAAGATTTACGAATCGCAGGACAAACTCTGGGAGCACATCTGCACCATGCACCCAAACGATCCAAGGTACCGCTGTCAGGATTCGGGCTGCCTTCGGGTTTTCTTCAGTGGTACAGGTTTCCGGAGCCACCAGACGGCACAGGGCCACAACGCGCCACCCGAGACAGCCAACAGCAACAAGTCTGTCGATAGTGGCCCCAGCATGGTGTTCCTCAGCTCCGACACATCCCCTGTTGTAGGCAGCAGCAGCAAGTGCCAGATTTGCATGCGAAAGTTTTCAAACATCAACAACTTGCGGCGGCACATCAAAATGGCGCACAGAAATCAGTCGAGCTTTATGTCCAAGCAGATTGTCCGACACAATCCCTCCTCGATTGCCTCCATGTATGGCAGGAAAATTGGGCGTGTACTTTGTCGATACTGTCCCAAATATCTTAGCTCCAAGTACATAAGCGAGCATGAAAAGATGCACAGAATTCGTGGAGACAAACCCAGAGCGGCCAGGGACAATGGTCAACAGTCGCAAGAAGTAGAGGGTCCGTCCCAAGTTGACGAAGGAGAGGGCAATTTGGGCATGGAGCCCGAGGAAGATTTGGAGGAAGACGAAGAACAAGAGGATACCCCAATAAACTCCTCTTTTGAGATGGACATTCCAGACTCGATAACGATGACACAAAATCAAGACTTCAAATTAAACAGGAAAATTCCCAGAGCCCCCAATTGCAAGTACTGCGGTCACACTGCGCTTTCCTTCTACGAGCTGCAGGAGCACCTCGACTCCAACCACCCAGGCCAGATTTATTACGTGTGTGAAGGCTGCCCTGAAATTTACTTTGACCGGAAAACCCTCGTGAGCCACAACATTGTGCATACTCGAGTGTACCTCAACTGCAAATATTGCAACAAGAGCTTTGCTCGGCCATTAGCGTTGCGGGGCCATGAGAACCGGTGCCTGTACTTGCAAAAGAAGCAGCAAGGACTTATGCCTGAGAGTGGCGAGGGTGCATCGTCGTCCACTTCCTATTCCTACACTTGCGAATTCTGTAATGATAAGTTCAATGATTCCATCACATTTGTGCAACATTTGCAGACTCATGCGACAACAAACTAGTAATCTGTGCATTGAAACCAAATTTTGAAGCTACTATAAATACCCTTTTTGAGTTGACCATCAAGATGAAAACTAAAAAAAAAACGTATTCACCGAATAAGCTGTTAGAAGTAATAAATTTAATGTTGCTGTATTATTTGAACTTGAACAAGATGTATTTGAGTGATTTTTGTTATCTACGCAAAAGAAATGAACGACTTACAATTAGGCTGAACAAGCAACAATGATTAAAGCAACGCTTGTCTTTTCAGGTTTGAGCTGCAAAATTTTATTTTTACTTAAATCCTGCATTTAAAAGTAATAATGTAAGAAACGCTTAAATAAAATGAAAAACTTTTTACTCCATAAAAGTGTTTTATTTTTTTCAGTTTTCACCTGATTTCCAAAAAAAAAGAAAATGGAATTTCAAATAATAGCAAACAAAATATTACACAACAAAAAACCAAATTTTAATATTACAATTAAAATATTTGACATTAAGTAAAATTTGATTTATTATATTCAATTAAACAATTTTCAATTCCAGGTTTGTCCTGTCCATCGAGGAATCCGAAAATGATGCTGGTCCTCAGCTCCAAGTGAGTGGTGTAAATCTGCTTGCCAAGCCCAAAAATAATCCTGAAACTACTGCGGCACCTCCAGCTACCACAAATGTGCCACAAGACCTTGATAGGAGTGATTCTAGACAAGCCTCCACAGTTGATATTGCTGAGGATGACAATAAAGAAAATGGAGCTCCTAACGACAGCAGTGTGGATGAGCCTGGCCCACCTTCTCCTGCGCCGCTGGAAATTCGCTCCTCGCCCGTTGTTGAAGAAAAAGAATCTGCTAAGGAAATGGAAACTGGTGCACAAGTGATGAAAGAAAAGTCAAATCAGGAAGTTCAAAACAATTCCCAGAGGAAAACCAAGAATGTGTTTTTTGCTAAAAAGTCGACTACAACGAAAACCAAGAGACCCAAAAAGAAGCCTGACCCTGCTGAAATGTTATTGCGTGAATTGAAAAAATTGGATACAGATTCAAAAATGAGAATTGATGAGGAAGAATTGCAATTGCTCTCCGAAAGGAAACGGCCACGCTCATCTAACTCCTTCAGTCACACTCCAGAAAAAAATCAACCAAAAATAAGAAAGGCCGCTATGAAAGCCGAGGAAAGGCTGAAGAAATTGGAAGATGGTGATTTTTCAGACGAGGACAATTTTGCGCCGGATAGGAAACGACGCAAATCGTCGAATGCAGCTTCTGGCAGTCTCAAAGTGGTAATTCCTCAGTCCGCCAAAAAGGTTCGCAAGACAAGCCTACCAAACCCTCTGCAACGAGAGGGCCTGACTGAATCAGAAGATGGAATGGAGTGCGCCTTCTGCCTCAGGTGGATAAAAATAGACCCAAAAGAAAAATATTTCAGCCACATGAGGAACTGCCACCCTGAAATAGATGAATATGGATGGGCCTTTAAACCAACTTCCTTAGAAATCAAGTCAGAGAAGTTGCAGAAATCACTTGTAAAGGTTGCAATTTCATGCCAAGTATGTGACAGGCAGTTTGACACCAACATGCAGCTGAAGCGGCACTTGGAGAAGCTGCACGCTTTGAAGACTTGCTGTGGCCAGACTTTCAACGAAGATGAGTATTTGGACCATCAGGTCATGCACGAATTGGGAGCAATCGACATTGACGACGACACTCCTGCCGAGGTGGATGCGGAAGCGGCCGCTCAGGTAGAAGCTCTCTCTTTGTACAACTCGCCTCTGCCCCTCAAGGAGAACCTAAAGCCAAGTAACAAAATCACGCCAAAGACCAGTGCAATTGATGAGCCGCGCAAGGACCAAAAGGCAGGCTTTCAACGAGAGCAGCGCAAGTACCCAAGCAAATGCAAAAAGTGCATATTTAATGGATCCCAGCAAGACGTCTACTACCACTATGAGATGATACACAACGACTTCTGGTGTGTGGCCTGCCAAGACGTTTTTGATGATGTTGACGACCTGGAAGACCACTTTGTGGAAAGGCACGGCGGCGAGTACAATAATGTCCTTGAGTACTACGACGAAGCCGACGACGTCAAAGAGCGCCCTTGCTCTGCTTGTGACAAACGCTTTGTCATGAAGGGCCGCCTGCTGTACCACTACAAGACTAAACACGACCTCTGCCCTTGCTTCATCTGCACAGAAGCTTTCAGGACCGAAGAGCAACTAAGAGAGCACAGCAGGGTGTGTGAAAAAAAGTGCTGCTATGTCTGCAAAAAGAAGTTCGCTCACAAGGTGCTGTTTGTCCTTCATGTGCTGGAACACATACACAAAGGCGAGGTCAAGGACGTGACTTTGAAGCTCCAGTGCCCTTCCTGCAATGATCACTTCTCATCTGCCGAGCTGCTGGAGAAGCACAAGAAGGAGAAACACGCCGCACCTAACAATGAGCCGGAGCAGAAAAAGCGTTCGTCCTTTGTCGCTCAACCTGTCACCTGCAAGAACTGCTTCAGGAACTTTTTACACCCCAGATACTTGCAGAGGCACATTTGCCCTGAAACACTGGTTGCTCCTAGTTCTAGCAAGGGCGAGGTTGATACTCTTGAATTTGGCTGCGAAATGTGCGAAAAGAGGTTCGCTTCTGGTGATGAGCTGGAGAATCACCTTGGTGAGCACATGAACTTCTAGAAATCAAACAACACAATTATACTAAATCTTGAGTAATGATATTTGAACTATTAAGATGATAGGATAATTTGCAGTTCAATTTTAATACAATAACACTTTGGTTCTTCCCAGAAAGAAGGTATCATCTTTCTTTCTTAACAATTAAGATAAATTCATTGATTGTCGATTCTCTCTTAGCAAGTTGGTAATAGGAGTCTATTGTGTTGGAGATTATGAGAGCTTATACAGGCAGTGCCTTGCCAAACATGTAATAAATGAAAGTTCCTCGACAATTGTTAGCAGTTGATTGTGACTTTGCAATGCTTCTATTTTAAAACAGTACAATAAGGAATCTCGGGGAAATATTGTCGCAAACATATTTTTCTATGACCAAAATTTGCGAGTAGCATATTAATACTTGTCTAATTTTCTAGTATGAACAATGAAACATATCTGAATAACCATAATTTTTAAACTATGCATTTAATCATCAAGAATTAAAAATTCTCAAAACTCTGAACGATTTTAAATTTTTTAATGACATGAAATTTGTAATGCACAAATAAATCTATTGTTTTTAATACTTTGCATTTTAATAACATGCACATAAAACCAGCTTTGTTTCAAGTCGGCCTCTTTGAACACCATAAATGGCATCTCGATTAGTATAATTTGCATTATTAATCAATTGACATGACATCAGGTGTGAAGAAAAGTGTTTTATTGCAAGTTTCCTTATTAACTTGATCTCGAGTAGCGGTTTAAAAGAGCGGAATGGAAAGTCATGCCATAAATGAAATTTTAGCACAAACTTATCCAAGCTGTTTTGAAATAATTTATTTCGTGAAGAACCAAGTAAAAATATAATGATTTTCAAAAAATATATATTTTTTACTACATAAAAGAAGTGAGAATTTTAATGGCCTGGGCCACAGACTGGACCGTTAAACTTACATAAGTGATTTACTTAAAACATTGGTTCTGTTGCTGTTTATTTTAATCTGGGACTTGCATCAACGTTGATCACCACATTGGCGATGAACAGCGGAGGACTGTTGTTCCATCTTATCCAGATTGGCCTTTTTTCGCGGTCATGCGCGAAGCCAAGGGCGGCTAGCTGGAGTGGCAGGCGCCGTTTGCCTCGCGCTCTTGAACGCCCGCACACTTCAGTAGGGCGCCGACTACAGGCAATATCAATTTAGAAGCCGTGCCACGCCAATTACTCCCACGTTAGACACCGGCACGTGCTGATAAGCAGGCCAAACTACAGACGATGAATCTCACGTCGCCGTCGATGGAGAATTCGACCACCAACGGCACCGACGCCGACGATTATGAGTACGATTGGGAAGAGTCGAGCAACATCTTCTTCTGGGACGAGTTGGTGCCCACCCTGGTCGTTTACGGACTAACCCTGGTGTTAGGGGTGGTCGGCAACTCGCTGATCGTCTTCACCATCTTGCGCTACAAACGCATGAAAAGCGCGACAAACGTTTTTCTCGCTTCGCTGGCTTCAGCCGATTTGCTGCTCATCATCGTTTGCATTCCTGTCAAGGTATGGAAAAGTAATTATTATTATCTGTTGAAGGAACGTGAAAAATACCCAGTTTCTCTTGTTCATACATATTCTATAATACCGAAAAATTAGTTAATTTTTTTTAGTAATTTGAATAAAATGTATATAATGCAGATTTTTAATTTTTTTTTGCGCTCAGCGCGTAAATAATTTTTGCCTTTGAGGAAAATAAGTCTTAATATTTCATCCTCAATTGTAGATTAACAATAAGTTGTAAAATGCAAAAATTGTGCTTCAATTTGTCCAAAATGAAAGAAAAAAAGTAACAAATAATATTTTAATACATGAACAAGCTTACGGAAAAGTAGCAACAGTTGAGTTGAAATCTATAATAGACTTCACAAATAGAACTCCTCCGTCTTGTTTAATTAAGCATGAAATTTCCAAGGAGTGTAAACTATTGGTGGGAATTAATGTATGGATATTTAAATTTAACCAAAGGATAAAATTTTTTCGAAGAAATTGGCACTTGAGGAGATGATCATGGAATTGAATTTTTTCAAAGCAAAAATATATTTTGTAAGTTTAGTAGCAAATAAGTTAAAAATCACATTTTCCTCCTTGTATGAGCTACGCAGTTGAAGACCCAGTTGATCACAATTTTTTAATTCAATTTTTCCTTCTTCAATTTTAAAAGAAAAATCTTAAAATGTAAGTAAGGCTACCGCAAAATATTTCTTTTTTTATAAAAAAAAACTTAACTAGAAGTGAGCTAATTAAAAAAAAACTTAAAAAATGGTTTTGCGATTACTTTGGATTACGAAGAAAATTTTCCGGCTCCGCATATTTTTTTTACAAATTTAAGTTATCATACCAGAAAGACATTTTAATTAAATTATTTTAAATTTTAGCTTACCTCTATTACCAAAATGAAATTCAACTCGTTTGTATGTAAATATCAATTACCTTTAAAAAAAAATGCAAGTTTATCCCAGTTTATCCCAGAAAAAAGCAAAGATTTACATTTTGGCCATATCATCTTTAGTTAGCTAAATCATGAATCGCACAAACAGAATAGAGTATTGGACAGTTGACAGTTTTCCACACAAAATCATGTTTTTTTGCTGGTCTCTTAATTAAGCAACTACGTAGGAAGTCACGGAAACGTTCGTTCACAGAAGATAAAAAAGAACTCAAGCAAAAAGAAGACAAGACTAAAATTTCAGCTGAAAAGTCTAAAAATATCAACTACGCGAACAGGAAATAGACGCAAAATGAAATTATATTTTCGAAAAAAATGGTTAAAACCCCAAAGATATATTCAAGCCCGCTATTAATGAATTGTTTTCCAGCGTCTCCATTACCGTTTTATTTACTAGCGTTTCTGCGCCGCTCTTGACCGTGGCCGTTTGTTTATTATTAAATTTATTTTCGCCCTCGCGCGGATCTTTTAACAGTGGCAGGCGTTATTTTTCGTGGGCGGTGAGAGATACTGAAAGCACGCGGCTCCTTTTTTCCATCGTTTAGTAAGGCTTTATTTAGTGCCGCCGCTTTTTACATCTGTCATTCTATCAATATTCCCTCTTGCGCGCATTCCGACCGCGGTCTCGCATAAACATTATTGCACGCGCTATTTTTACAAGCGGCTCTATCCATTTTATCGAGTGACAGCAATGCAGCTGATATCAAAACATCGCCGTTTTCTCTGACAGACGCTTTTCCTTTTTTGCATAGCACATTACAAGTGTACACACACTCGACTTTGACGGGCCGCCGCCGACTCGCTCACCGTTTGTTTGTGCGACTTTTCACTTTCAACGCTCCTCACCCAATCGGCTGCTGCACCCGTTTTCCCTGAGGCTGAATCGATCATTCCTGCGGTGTTTAGTTTTAATTAAACACTGTAATGATGTCGTCGAGTGGGGTATCGAAATTGCGAGTTAGAAATTATAACTTGTCACTTCAGTAATTTTTATTCTGTTCTCTATTTCTAAGAATATTTGAGCAAAAACTTCCAATTTTTAATTAATTTTGAAGTATAATTTGAAAAATAGGAAAAAAAATATTTTAGACTAGTTTTTGTTGCATTTTTATCTTATTTGGAAGAAAAAGGGTATTATGGAAAAATTACTCAAACACAATGATGAATCGTTCATTATTGACTTCAATTATTCCTATATATACGGTGGTGATATCATTTCAGGAAAAACCAAAACTAGTTTCAGCTCAAATAATAACTTTTGCAAAGCTGCTGGAATTTATTATGCGATTTTATATCAGCCTTTCCGATTTCAACTTTCAAAATGAAATTATGAAGTATCCCTAATTAATAAAAACGAGAATTGTTTGCATGAATGATCCGAACGGTTTAGAATTACCAATTATTAGCCAGTGTTTAGTGCACGCACCACTGCTCTGTTTGCTTAAAAAGCGAGCCAACAATATTAATTTCTTTTTCCTTGAACACTGAAAAATGATTCCCCATGTGCAAATTCCAGCTTTTTGCAATGCAGCAATAGTTCAGGCTTGTGCATGAGTTGCTAAAAGCCGACGCAATCGATTTGGTACGCGGACGCTATGATCCGAATTAATTAGTTTAGTCTCTCGCAAAAAGTACGATCATCACAGTGAGTTGCACAAAAAGTAACTGAAAGCAGGCTTTTGATAAAAAGGGGGTGGTTCTGAGCAACAGTTGTAATTAATTCCTTAAATGGACAGTGCTTTTAAAATATTTCCCGCAAAAAAATTTGTCAGTGCTGGAGAATGAAAGTATAAAATGATCCATTGGTCAAAACGTGGACGTCATGAATGTGCTTGTTTTCGAGAGCAAAAAATTCGCGGCAATAAATCAAGAAAGTCAAAAGAGTGAAACCATTTTTCAGTTGCAAAAAAACATATCAATATGAATATTCGCTGTCTAACCGCTGAAACAGATTGCTGAAGCGCCTTTACGCTTTTTCACTACCAAGGACAGTCCATTATGAATATTTTTTGTGTATTAATCGATAGCGTATATTATTCTCTAGCAGGTTTGAGTAAAAAACAAAAAATAAAATCAAAAATAAATGATTTCATCTTATTATTGAATTCGGTAACCCCGGATGAAAAGTTTTGGAAGAGTATCATAAATATTGTTAAATCCTGTTCACTACGAAATTTAATTAGAAATTTTTTAATGACAAGGCAAATTTTTTTCAAGACCTTCTTCAAGGGAATATTAATCCTTTTTTTATCTTATAAGATAAATTTTACAACACCTTCCAAGTACGGGAGTTTGTCTTCAGAGCCATATTATCAAAGGTAATTTTCAAAAAAAAAATAAATAAATAAATAAATAAAAAACAGTGCTAAGTGTCGACAACGCCCTTATTTTACCCCCTTAATCCGTAAAAAAGGTAGACCACAGTCTATTTATTTGCGGCACTAATTGAATCTAATGCCACTCCTCTTCAAAGTCAATTAACTTTGGGTCTAGGTGAAGCCATCAAGTGTCGGTCCTAAAACCTTGAGTGCATTTATTTCAGACCGTAAAATTTATAGCCTCACTCTTGCAATATTCTTCACGCAGTGGCGCCCGGCGCGCGGCAGGTATGCCCATGGATGGCAGGTGGTAATTGCTTACAAGCGCCCCCCACTTGCCGGACGAAATAATTGTAATTTATTTCGCCGTGTCCACTAGCTGGGACTTTGATCCTCGGTATTTTTTCTGCCGTTTAAGTGCTCGAGGCTAAGTGAAGAACACGTAGAGTTAATTACTCACTCTTCCTGGAGGTGCATCTAAATTAAGGGACAGGCCATTACAATTTATTTTCAACTCTAGCTGGCAAGCACAAAAGCTTCGCTTACTAATGAGATTTTATTTTTATATTTTTTTAATGTTGTAAAATTATTATGAGAAATATTTAATAATTTTTTTTTACTTATTTCTATGACAGCAAAGAATGCTCAATTCACGAGAATTTTTGCAATATGGATATTACTAACTTTTATATTAAAAGTTTTACCATGATTTTTCCGTGTAAATGAAGAGGAGGTTGATATTTATAATTGGCCTATTTAATTAAGCTCATTTGCTTACTTGTTACTTCATTCAGGCAGTTTATACTCATTAGAAGTTTGAGCAACATTTGAGCTTAAATTTTCAGACAAAATTTACGCCTGCCTGATGAGAGCTAACTCGATTACATATGCTTACAGAGCACATGTGCTTGAATATACAGAATTAATATAACATTAATATATAACTGTGTATGTACATTAATGCTCAGTGATTTGATGTAAACTGAAATGGTGAAACCAAATTCACCACAGAAATACTTGCGGCTTATAATGAGCAGTCAAAATTTCACGACACACTGATTTCATGGTAATTGATAAGCGTGAGATCAAAATGTTTCGAAATGTCTAAGTCTGGCACAGTTGCTGGAATTCAATGAATTATCCAGAGGAAATCAAACAATTATTTAGGAGGGCTTACAGAAATTTTTTATTGATTTAAAAATAGAAAACGGTTTTGAATGGAAGTCTGAAATTGGAATTTATTATTTAGTTTAACTACAGTAGTGTTTTTATTAGAAAAGTAAGGGGGAGATTATTTTTATATAAATTAATCCAGAAAACACTAAAATGACGTGAATTATTATTATTATATTTTCTACCAACTTGCAGGAAAGATGGTTGTTTTCCGACTTGACGTCATTTTTGTAGCTGACACTTTCCAAAGTTGTCCGTCTCGCTTGCCGAGAATGAAACAACTATGCCGACAAAAACAGCCATAAATCTAATATAATATTCAGAACATCCACCGCACTCTCAATTTCACGGCGGCTTTTGGTGTGTCCCCTGTAAATGCTGAAACGTTGTAGCGAACGAGCAAGATTTGCGAACAACACGTTGAGCGCGTTGACAAGTTGCAGCAGCAAAAAGCGGCCGTGCATGTAATGGTCGCAGCAGCAGTCTCCCTTATCATATTTCATCCCTGGCGAACGCGAAAGGGAGGAAAATCGAACTCGGTATCCTAAGCAGAGGCTCAATTTTCC